ACAACTTCAGCAGTAGCATTTTCTGAATGAGCTCTGCAAGTGTGACTTATATATAGAGCTGTTAGAGGGGTGGTTTGAAATACATGCTCCTTGGGATATCAAATTCAAATTTCTCAAACATATGTTTTCAAAATTACTTAAAATTGAGAACAATTACATCCTTGGATTTTTTTTTCAGATAGTGAATTTGTATTAAATAAGAAGAAAACTGTATTTAGTAGTGCTGGCTTAAGGCCTGGGTTTGTGCAGGTTTACCTTTGCTTTAATGTCATTTTGCAGTTTCTCCCTGCTCCCATGCCCTGCAAGAGTCAGCACATGCTGTGGATAGCTGTGCTGAGTAACTGTGTGAGTAACTGTGTGAGTAACTGTGCTGTTCAGGTGTCCTGCCTGGGCAGCTCTTGGGCCAGACAGAACATAGCACTGAAGCTTATGATGAGGTGTTGGCAACTAAAGTGGCCAGTCTGATCTTTCTATAGTTGTTTTTTATAGCTATTTTTTTAAATTGTTGTAATGAATCTTATGGAATATTAATCCCAATATTTCCGGGTGGGACGTGCCTGGCCCCGTCTGACCCTTGCTGCTGGGCCAAAGGTGGCAGCTGTGGTGTTTCACCTCAGAGATACCTTTGGCTGGCTGGGTGCTGCAGCTGGGCACTCAGAACAAATCCAGGCATGGTAGAAACTCAGTTTACCTCTGGTGGAAAAGGTTCAGGCAACGGTGAAGAGAAACAGGAGAGGATTCTATCGTAGAGTTTTAATCCAGAGTTTTATTCCAGGATGACAGACCTCTGAATGTGCTAACAGCTCCCAACAGAATCCGGACCACATGGTCTCATCTCCCTTTAAGCCCCGGGGACAGGGGGAGGGGAAGGGACAGGTGAGGCTCAAGGGATAAAGGCACTTGGACAGGCCAATGAGCCCGGACCTGAGGGGCATCTTTTGAACTTGTGACAACCACACGACACCCTTGCTGGAATGTTAAGATTGATGGACAGCTCTTAGCAGGAGGGCAAAGGGGAAAGGAGAGGTTGGCACACCTGAGGGGTTGGGATGGGTGAAACAGGAAATGGCATCACACTGCAACAGAATCTTTTGGTATCTATCCAATTCAGATGGTGATTAGTAGGGAGTAATCTGGCTACCAAAGGTATAAATGCTGAGTAATCTTCCCCCATCATAAACAGCAAGTTGTATGGCATAAGTTTTCCTGATATTTATCACAAGAGTAACTTTTGAATAGCTTTGAAGCAAAAAATGTGATGACCTGATCAATAAAAATTAAGCAAAAAAAAAAAATTTCTCACAGCAAACGCCTTTCTTTGCACAAGATTCAGGACTGTTGGTGACTTACCTTAAAATGACTATGGACAGATAGCCACTTCAAGAAAACACAATTACATGATGTGACTTCTGTCTCTGACAACACTATCTTTTAAATTTTATTTTTCAATTTTCATTTCATCCTGTGGTATTGCACAGCTCTCTGCCATTTGTGTTTTTTTAGATGGCTGAAAATTTTGTGGTTCACTTGAAGCATAATCAATGCAGTGTTGTGGATCCCTGTCAAGTCAGATGATGGTAGCAGAAGTATAGCTAGACAGAGCACACAGGTCACCAGCAAACAAGTGAAGACAATGAGCCTTTATTGGGCTCTGAATGGCTGCTGATGTTCAAAGCATTGTGTGCTGCTTCAGACAGAAATATGTGCCTTTCCATGGTTTCTGGTGTGGTTCTAAAACTTCATAAGATACAGCTTTCCAAAGGACTTAAGTCAGAATTGTGTAGGTTGGAAAAAACCTTTAAGATCATCAAGCCCAACTGTAGTAGGAAGACAAAACAGCCTTTTTTGGCATAAGCATGGTCTGAAATGCCCTTAGGAGGATGTGATTTACCCTTTGTATTCCAGTCATGTTGTACAGCCACTTACAATCTTATGGTTTCTTGCCATCATTCCCACTAATCCAAACTACTCTTATCTATTGTGGGTGGCCGATTTTGGTTTAAGACTGGTCCATTTTAAGAACATTTAAGAAATTGTACTTCCTCTGATAACTCTTTAGGTTAAGAAACCTAGGTGGAATTTAATTTGCATTTGGTGTGGTAAATGTTTTACCCTGCGTTGGTACAGCTCCTGCAGTCAGACTCTGGTACAATGAGTATGTCTTGCTGAAGTGTGTGTGACTAAGTAGGTTCTTTGGCTTAGTGGTTGTCCATTAATAAAACTGGTAGTAGAATTGGTTGCCCATTAGTAAAACTGTTGTCTGTGCTACCAGCTACGGAAGAACACAGAGTTTGTTTAAATTAATTATAGTAGTGACTTAAGGCATATTTCACTTGTTACTTCCTTTTGTGGTTAGGTATTTAGAAGGAATTAGTTGCTCCAGGAAACACTTTTGGAAGCCTGAAAGGTTTTCTGAAGGCTTGCAGAAATTGCAGTGCAATGGCAAGAGCTGATGCCTTTAAGAAGCTTGCATCATTTTAAAGGAACAGGTGTTTGTTCAGCACAGTCCTCCTCCGTTCCTGTTTGCATATTCATAGAACTGGATCTACTATGGCTCTGTAGCTGCTAATGATCTGAAGTCACACAGCCCCTTGTGTTCTGAGTCCTCACAGAAATTGCCTGTTGTGGTCATGATGGGCTGAGACATTGACACGGAGCTGTGGTGGTTTTAGTTTGTTTGTTTGAGGGTTTTTTGTTTGGTTTTCTTCCCCCCCTACTCCAAATGCTTAGGTACTTCAGGGGAAGATGAAGCAGAAAACTGGGAGGGAGAAACATGAAAAACTGGGTTGTGGTTTGTTGCTGTGAGTTGATCTCTAGGTCTCAATGGTAGCAGTGACATGGTAATTGTGATGAGTTTCTTTGGTCTGACTTGTTTTGGATGGCAGGAGAAGGAGAATGGATGGTCTGGTATGGCTGGGGAAGGGGCCCTCCTCTGTCATTTGCCAGCACATCTCAGGCTGGATGCGAACTGATTATCATGGTAGAGCCCCAAGTGTTACAGGGCTGTGTGCAGAATCAAGTGGGGGCTGTTGTAACATGTGTCTTTCTGTTTGTTTGAAATTAAGTCCAATTTTTCTTCAGTGTTTCCTGATGTTCTTTCCAATATTGAAGTTGGGGTTGGGGAGGGACTGTGTAGATTTGAGCACCACCAACTCCTGCTGCTAGAGATTCTGTAAATAGCCGCAAGCAGGACTTCTCTTCCTCCTAGCAATCATATGACTGCTGCTTGTATAGTTATACTCACAAATCTAAGTATGGAAATACTACTGCTGGCTCACTTCAGGCTATTCACTGCAAGTTTAAAGCTACACACATAAATATTCTGACTTTATATATTTTGTCACCAAAAAGTAGTGAAAGATTGATACTGTTAAAACAGTGATTCTTGATTTTAGCTTTTACTTTAGAACAGACTTGTGACTTTTTTGACTAAGTTTGTCTTCTAATTTCGTATGAAGATGTATTAAACAAATAATTAAGCTTCATTTTATCTATTACTATACTGTAAATGACTGTTTAATTTTGAGAACTCAAATCAGTGCATTGAACTTGATCCTGTTGTGGAGTACAATTGCAGAATGAATGCAAAGTTGCTGAGTTTGAGGTGGTAACTACTGATCTTAGCTCTAAATTAGCTCTATAAATACTCATTTAAAAATATCTTTTGATCATTAGATCTGTTTCCTGTTGTTGTTTGTCTCTATCCAGTAGATGATGATAATGTTGGTAATAAGGACTGTTAGGTGTTGAATATGTAATTGGACTATTTAGAGCTGAAACATCAAATATGAAATACATAGTTAGGATGTCTGCCTAATCTCTCTAATGCTGAGCAATCTTGGAAATGACCTATAAGATTTATCATGTTTGCCAAGTAGTTTGGGGAAGATGCTGAAGTGGGAGTATCACAGCTTCTACCTCGATTTGCCAACTTTCAGAGCAATCAGTTTTGCAGCTCTTGGTTGTTAGAGCCTGAAGGTCACTGGGGACAATGTTGAAAACCTGACACTTGCAGGGATAGAGGGCATGTTTGTAGTAGGCAGGTAGGAGGCATGGTCAGGGCTATTTCAGAAAGGGTGTGGGAATAAAAGGTATGCACCATAAAAACAAAGCCTTTTTGACTCTGCTTCTCTGGAAGAAACCTGTTCTAAAAGGGCACTGTGATTTTTGAGGGCAGCTAATGTTTAGTGTTATTGTTTGGGTGCATATTCAGGTTACTTGCAGAATAGTCTGAAGGTCTTAAAACATTTCAAGTTAAAACTCCTACATCATCTTTAGTTTTGAGAACACCTTCCCTCTTGTTTTGCTCAGGAATTAAAGCTTGAACATACTGAGAATTTTGCAAGTGGTTAAACTTTTGCTCACTCACAACTACAATTAGAAAACTAAATTGGAGCAAAAGTATTTTTACCCCTTATCTCATACCATCACTCAAATGTGTATGGTATTGTAGAAACTGCATCATGGTAACAAAGGCTGTTGAAAAAACAGTTCTTGTACTCAAATAGTAATTAAAAGTATAAATACTAAACCTTGGATTCTTTAAAATCTACCATTTGAGGCTTAAGGCATATGGAATCTGTTGAAACAGTTTAAGCCCTGAAGTACAGTAAGGGAATGGGTAGAATTAGGTGAAGAATCTTAAAGATTGCAAGTAGAAATCAGGTGCTTTGCATTTCATGAGCACATTCTGCAAATACTTTGTAAAAGGAGCGTTGAATGGTGAAACTGGATGCTGGGATCTGCTTGCCCTGCTGTGACAGGCAACTTCAGGTATTTAGACCAGTACATGATTGGTCTAAATACATCTCAGTTGTTACTGCTGTAACAACTGACAGCACCAGTCCGTTGTTACAGCAGCTCAGTCTGGAATATAAATTATGCAGCCACACACTTTAATGGTTTAATGTACTAACAATAGTAAACTTACTTAAGTTTTGAATTAAGGGATTTTCTCTGATTAATCTGTGTTGTTGTGTTTTTTTTTTTTTTTAATTAAGGTGTGCAAACAGATTTGGCTCGGCCTATTTGATGATAGATCATCAGCAATTCCAGACTTCAGGGATCCACAGAAAGTAAAGGAATTTCTACAGGAAAAATATGAAAAGAAAAGATGGTAAGATACCTTTACTATTATAAAGATTGCCCCTATGATGAGAAGTGAGGATGGACTGTTTGCTCTCATTTTGAATGTTATTTCCTTCTTTGAATCTGCTCTTCACACTAGATTACACACTCTGTAAAGTGAAATGATTTCTGAACTTTATGGAGAGCTCCTATAGGAAGCAGAGAAGACAAACTAAACAAGTTTCTCAGTGTTCATATTGATGGAACAGAAATGGCTTAAGAGGATGTCAACAACAGTGTAAAGGAACAGTTTTGCAAACTGTTATTTCCCATCCGATTTATTCGTATGGGAAAGACATGTTTTGTATTGAATAAGTGCTAAAAATATTGATGACTTTAACTTCCAGTCCATTAAAAAAAAACAACTCTGTCATATTTAAAGAATAGGTACTTTGCAAACTACTGATACAGTCTATTGCAGGATCAGGGTTTCAGTAGCAAAGCTGACATCTGCCAGTTCTCAACTTCAGACTCAAGAACTTCCATGTGAAACTTGTAAAAACCATTGCTCTTCTTGCATGTAGGTATGTTCCTCCAGAGCAAGCAAAGGTGGTGGCATCAGTCCATGCATCCATCTCGGGCTCCTCTGCCAGTAGTACAAGCAGCACACCTGAGGTGAAGCCACTCAAGTCTCTCTTGGGAGAAGCTGCACCCGCACTGCACTTAAACAAGGGCACACCTAGCCAAGTGAGTAATGATTGCTGAGGGGCACAGGACTGTTTGCAGTCCTTGTAACTCTTTCAGTGGCACAAAAACCCTTGCAGTAACAGCTGCTGTGATCTGTAGGAACTGATATGATCACTGTATGTTGTATATTTTTCTGAAGTATATACATGTTAGCAGATCAGGTACTAAATGAAGTTTGTTTCTATTGACCAAACTGATTTTTAATGGTTATTTTCAGTAAATAGTTCTCCATTGTGATAGGATTAATTAATTGTCTTTTGCATAAATACCTCTAAAGTTTAGACCTAATGTGTTATATTTTAATTTTTGCATTTTCTCTCTGAAAACAAGAAAACGACTGCTGTTGTTAATTGTGAGATAGTAGTGACTATGTGGATGAAAGCATGTCGTATTTATTATGACTTCCTGTGCATTCTGAAACTGTCTTATGCTGTAATGTAAAGTCAAACAACACTGTGTACTTAGATTTTTGGAGGGAAGACAGTTTGTTTGAAAACTACCCTCAAGATACAGGCAGCTCTTAAATGGACCTCTTTTAACTCAAACAGTAGAAAATTTCAACTTCAAGCCTTGCTATTAAGTTCTTCAATTTTTCTCTCTTATACTGAATTCTAATGATTTTTTCAGAATGTACTGAATAAATATTTTCTGTCTTGTAAAATTAAGTTTTAGTGCTTGTATTTGTACAGTATTTACAGTTTCAAATGCAAACTCTGAAGTTGCTAATAATATCTTGCTACTTTAGTCTTCTGGATGCTATTAAACCATGTAAATCTGCAAGAGTTCCTTTAAGAGCCAGAGTAATAGCATATAAATAGTCTTCCTCATACTGTGGGAGGAGGGTGTATACTACATACAGCATCTTAAACTTCAGGAATAAATGTCTTGTTAAAGAAATAAGCTTAGTCTAGCTGTCTAATATTTTGTAAATGTCAGTTGGGTAAAATACCACCTTTTTGTACTAGCTAATTGAAATCTTGTTTGTAGTCTCCTGTTGTAGTTCGATCTCAAGGACAGCAGCAACAAGAAAAGAAACAATTTGACCTCCTCAGTGACCTTGGCTCAGATATCTTTGCTGCTGCCCCTCCTCAATCAACTGCTACAGCGAATTTTGCTAATTTTGCACACTTCAACAGTCATACAGGTAGGTATTTGGACCACTATACCCTTCTAAATTGTATAAAATGTAGTTTTAATTTTGATGGCTTTTGACTAAACTTTATGAGATGTATGTGATCTCTGTGCCTTAGGAATGTTGTATTGTTGAAAGTTTCTTTCAGGTCTTTACAAAGAAAGGTTAAAAACATAAAGACTGACAATTCTGCTTTGGGAATTGGGGGTTGCTATAGCTATTCTCTAGGATATGTATGATTACACTGTTTCTGCCTACTGCTAAACTTCAGGTTCTTTGGGGGAGAGAGTGAGAGGATGAGTAATAAATTGTTGAGAGAAGCTGATATTAGACCTTCAATTTTCTTTCTGAAAATTATTAGGAAGACCATTCATGAAAAGCAAGCAGATACAGAGACTTTAAAGGGGTTCAAATGTATTGATAATAACTGCCAATTTGTCAAAGGAAAAACCAAGGCTTGCCCAGTTTAAAGAGTGATCTCATCTTTTGTGTGTGTGTCTGTTTGAAAGCTGAGTACTGCCCATGTGAGCAGTATTCTGTAGTTTCAGGAAGGATAAACAAGCCTTGAGCATATGTATTGACTGAGGAAAGAGGATAGGCCTTGAATTCTTAGAGGATGACTTCAGTAAAATATATTGAACCCTCAGGGGTTTCTTTTCCCAGCCAAAGACCAAGAGCCACAGAAGTGTATCCTAAAGACAAAGTCAATTCTGTGGTCACTGAAGTTTCTTGTTGCTAGCTTGCCTTGTAGTTGTGGGAAAGTACCTTTGCCTGCCTGCTCTGAATGGGCTTTTCATCTAGTTGTTCTGAGAGAAATTGTGATGCTGCTAAGCTACTCAGAATAAGAGAGATTTCTTGCAAATCAGTCCTGAAACTGTTAACAGCCAAGATAAACTATCACAGGCTGGACTTAGGGTTCACACCTGAGGAGCTGAGCAAAATACCAAGATTTATCCAAATTAATGTGGAATAAATGTCTGAATTCCGTAACACTGCAGCAGCAATTGTTATTCTGTGTGTTCTGTAAAATCCTTAAAATTAGATTTCATGTTAATCGTAATTTCGGGGGTGTTTTTAACTGGGAGAACTTCTGCTGGCCACTGCTGCATAGTGTTACTGAAAAGGCTGCAGATGGTTAATTTTTTCTAATAATTTCTTTCCAAACTTGTTGCTGAATGATTCTTTATTTATATATCCTTTATTATTCCTTGTGCTTTTTAGGAGATGAAAATTCCATTAAAGCAGTATTTCAATACTGTGTTCCAAATCTAGGTAAAATTCCATTGCGTCTCTGCTGGGTAATTTTTAGGATAGAAAGCTATAGGAACACTCCAGAATAAATAAAATCTGAGGAGAGAGTCTATTAATTTCTGGTCACAAACTAACCATTGTGGTCATTCCCATGACTTCTTACCATAAGTTTTAGAGCCCCAAGCAGTATCAGGGCTAGTAAATCAGTTTCTAAAAGGCAGAAACCTGATTCTGAGTGTGTGATAGCTGAACATGCATTGCAGACTTGCTACCTGAGGGTATTTTCTGACTTGCTGTAGTACAATGCTTGTAAGGCATGTCTTGTGTGCAGTAAGTAGTGTTAGTGAAATGAATAACAAAATGTTACAGACTCTTCCTTTTGGAACACAAGGAGGGTTGATCAGTCTGCCAGCTTTGGCAAAAATGAGTTTGAAATGCTCATTAAGGAGCTGTATAAACATGTAATTTTTGTTAGCAATTACACACTGCTAAGGAGGATGGGAGAATTTGCACTTAGCCCAGCACTACTTTCTTGAAGTCTACAGTCTGGTCTTCTTGTTTTAGGGCTTGGTTTTAGCTGTGTGTATAAAGGATGGAGTTTTTTCCCTTCCTGTGCACAATACCAACTAAATCACTGAAGAGACCAGCAAACTTAAGATCCCTCAGTCTAAGTTACTGAGTGTGGCAGCTGATAGGAAAATATTAACAAACTTGTGCTGTAATCTGTGAAGTGTAGGTGTAAATCTTGAAAATTATGCAGGAACTACAATTTGTGATATGTTTCTGCTTTCCAAGTTTTTTAATGTATTAAGCTGGTTCAGGATGTTGTTGCTTATTGAAGGGGAAACATACTGACCTTATGTTTGCTATTGGTATTTAATTTACAAAGTTCTGTAATTTCTGCAAAATGGAGATTTTGATTTGTCTGTGGTTTATAGATTGGTAATCACAACAAGGATCAAAAATTTTGGCATGTAAATTTCTTAAAAACTGATGGAATAGATGACCTGCACAAAAGATTTTATAAAGGTGTAGTGACACAACACAACTCTATTACAGATAACATGGAAAAAGAGGCATTATCTAGAAAAACAAAATAGTATAAGAGTTATTTTGTAGAGCTGGTTTTTTTAGGTATATGTAGATTTTATTTTAGCTTTTTTTTTCTGTTTTGCAGTGTTTCATGCCTTTATTACATAGGAGGTAGTACAAAGCTCACAGAGGAAACTGCAGAGATTGTAGGAGCAGCTGGCATTGCCATGACTGGTGTTGTCATCCCTGGCTGTAGCCAGCTGGCTTTTGTACTGCCTTGTTGGTCTGCAGTGTCAAGAGCAGCTGTAAATCCATTGCAATCTGCAACCCCCTGCAGTTCCTGAGCTTACTTAGGATTGTTCTGGGGTTTTTGTGTGGAGAACTGGATTTTGGAATTGGCAATTTATGTATTGTCCAGGTGCAGGAGAGTACAAGTCTTGCCTGGTCTTTACTTTTGTGTCACATTCACAAAGGTTGACATTTTACTGCATAAAATAAAACAAGATTAATATCAGAATACTCTGCTGAAGAGGCTTTACAGCAGTGCTATTTGAACATGGGCTCACTTGAAGGTCATCCTTTCTGTGTCAGCTGATACAGTAAAATGAAGTGTTTTGTAATGTAATGCACTCCAGTTTTTAATTTGGGCCCAAAAGATATTTCATTTAAGATTCTTGACATAGTTTTCTGTTTGTGTGAGTGGTTAAAATGAGTTATCTTGCCCTTATTCTAGAAGTGACATTTACATATTTAATCCTCTTTGGTCAACTAAACATCAGTCTCTTGCCTCCCCAATTGATGCATTAGGATGAAAGTATCACTTTCATTTTTAAAGTAAATTCTTAATCTATTCCTATTAAAAAACTACAGGTTTAAACACCAAAACCTGCTCAAACTTTGGGATTTGGAGTCTGTAAAATGCTGTTTGAACCAATACAGAGGATATCATAGAAGTAATTTTTTCTGTTTGTGCCAACTTTTTGTGCACTTCAATAACTTTCCCATGATCTTGCTTTCACTTTGATATTTTCTTTCTCCTTGCTGACTCTCATGCTGTGGTGGGTTCCAGGTGCCCAGGGGGCTGTGTGTTCACTCTCCCATCAGCAGGGTTGGGGAAGACACCAAAAAGCTGCTGAGTCAAGAGAAAGTAACTGGGCAAACCAGACTTGATTTATTTATTGACAATAATAGAGTAGGATAGTAAAAGAATAAAATGAAACCCACCTTCATCCCTTCTTGTGAGGTGTAATTTCACTCCTGACCATTTTAGCTCCTCCCCATGAGGGGGCTGAGGAATGGGCATTGCAGTTAAATCATAAGATTTTCTCTCTGTTGCTACTTCTTCCTCATGCTGTTCCCTGCTGCAGTGTGGGTCCTTTCCATGGGGTGCTGTCCTTCAGGCAGGGTCACAGCTCCTGCCAGAAAACTGCTCCAGCAGCAGCTTTCCATGAGCTCCAGCCTCCTCATGCCCTCCCTGCCTGCTCTGGCATGGCTCCTCCAGGGCTGCAGTGTGAGTGTATTACACCATGGTCCTTCATGGGCTGCAGTGGGGGACAGCCTTCCTTACCATGGTCTTCTCCATGGGCCTGGAGCATGTCCTTCCCTCCCTCTTAGCTGACCTTGGTAACTGCAGTGATTTCTCTTGCATTTTCTTCACTCCTCTCTGCCACAGCTGCTGCACACTGGTTTTTAACCTTTTCAAACACAGTGCCCCAGCCAGCACTGCTGGTATCCTTAGCTTTGGGCAGTGGTGGGGCAGTCTTGGAGCTGCAGCAGCTGTGCAGCAATGGGGGCAGTTTCTGTTCACTCCTCACAGGGACCACCCTGGCTGCTCCCTGCTGCCAAAACCATGCTCTGTAACCTAATGCTTATGCACATGGTTTGTTAAATGTGGTATTGAGTCCAGCCAAACCTCACCCTCTCCCAGGGTACTCTGGGAAGGAAAGTGCAGGCACTTTCCTGCTAATTTATATTAGCAGCATTGTGGAGTACAGTAGTTTGTATTAAAATGTCCTTTCAGTTTCTAAGTTTGTAGTACAGATATTTTTTAATAGAAATGAATTTAAATAATACAGCTTTTAATTAGCACTATCAGATTATTAAGTTATAGTACTTCAGCAATCAGCATAATTTATTCTCTTTGTATATACTTAATCTGCAAAATCTCTCCAGAATAAACAAATTCTAACCTAAAAATATAATGTATTGCCATCTGTTATTCCAGAAGGTGTTGTGTGAGCTTTCTTTAGATAGTAATTCAAGTTATCTTTATAAAAAGGTTTGGTTTGCATTTGATTAAAAACATTTTTTCCTGTCTTGCTTATAATAGAGTTTAAGGGCTTCTGTGGAGCTTACCAGCTAGGTGTGCAATTCCTGTTGAGTCTATAGATGCTTGCATGTCCAGCTGGTCAAAATTAGATTAGTGTTAACTTTTATTTTCTCCTAGAGTATGGAACAAAAGGAAGGCAAAAACTGAAATTTTATTTGAAATTTCCTTGGATTTAATTCTGTGGATACACTATGAATGCTATCTTCTTGCCACCGGCATTGATTTTCTATTTCTGTTCTCTGATTTAGTTTATTTAAAGGCTGAATTTTTCAGTTAAATGAATTTATAAACCTAGCCCAAACTATTCAAGCTGTGCCAACCAAAATTCACCTGAGGAAGAAGCACTTGGTGTATGAGGAATTTGAATTGCCAATATGTTACAAGAATACCTTCTGATTTTTATGCACAAAGAAATGTTCAGTTAGCCCACAAGTTCTAGTTTTGGAAACTAGGTATTCTGTACTTTATGGCTGCTTTTTCCTGAGCAGCCAGCACTGCAAGCACTGAGGGTTAAGCTGGAGTGGATTCCATTGGGTCATGCAGTTGTGAGCAGCAGCTTGTGTGGGAAGGACAGAAGTAGCATTAACTGATACAGCTCTGTGAAGGTGACTTGTGAGAGCTTGTTCAAAGACAACTTTCAATTGTAGAATAATGTGTAATTTTCTTCATGTCAAAAGCAGCACATGGTAGGACATAACCCTTGAAGGCTGTCATGACCATGAATTCAGTTAAAACATCTGTTTTTGTGTTTATTTCCCATATCCATTAACATGTTTTGTTCCTTTGCGATTTACAGCGCAGAACTCTGCCAATGCAGGTTTTGCAAACTTTGATGCATTTGGACAGTCTAGTGGCTCGAGTAATTTTGGAGGTTTCCCCACAGCAAGTCAGTCTCCTTTTCAGCCCCAAAATACAGGTAGAAGTCCTAGCACTTTTGATTAATCCTTAATTGAAATAATCCTTACCTTTATGTTGAAAGGTACCGAAGTTGAGTTTTTCTTGCATCTGCCTGCTTTAATGTGATCAAGCCATCTGAAGCTCTGGGGAAACTCAAAATGAATTCCTTGTGTTTGGTGTTGATTTTTTTTTTTTCCCCTAATGCTACTCAGAAGTCTGATTTATGGCACTGTGTTTGTTAGCTCTACACTTGAAATAACTATGAAAAGAATAAACTCTACTGCTTTTAATAAGTATTGAATTGACTCTGTCTTCTAAGAGAATCACTTCAGTAGATCCAAAAGGATGTCACAGTACCAAACAAGTGTGTGACTATGCATATATATATATAGCATATGCACACACTTCAATATGTTTGACTTCATGTGTAGAGCCTATTGCTAAGATTTATTTTGCTTTCCTTTAATTTGATCATGCTTTAGAACTTCTGCTTGAGTTTACACTTGCTGTTTGTCTAGATCTTTGGCTGACTGACTTTCTTTTCCTTTTTTTTTTTCTTTTGAGTGTGGTGTTGTTTTAAACTTTTTTTTCAAATTTTCTTTCTCCCTTCTTATGTTAACTTTAACCCACACACAATTTCTGGCTGTCCAGCGTTCAGAACGCTTTCATCTAGCTGCAGTTTTGGTGAATTTACTTCAGCTTTTCCTCTCCAGGCTGTACACAGTAAGTTCCACGCAGTGGAAAACTCAGCTTGCTTCATTTTATGCCATTGTAGTATAGCACTTCCATTCCTACTGTTGCATATGTTTCAACTTGTTGCTTATGCTTTTAGAAAGTTGTGTTTCTGTTTTAGAAAGTTCTGTAGTATGAGTGGAATCATCAACCAACTGTTATAAAATGTGGTGCACTTAATGGAACAACTCATTTAAATTTAAATATGTGACCTGCCTAGATTAAATTGTCTGGACAATGAAGAGATGGAAGCTTGTGGTGTCATACTTGATCTGAAGTTCAGTTGTATGGACTCATATCAAATTTATAAAATTGATTTATGTATCTCTGACTTCAGTGGATATTTGTTATAAAAGAGCTGTGTTGTGTCTTCCTCCTAACCTCTTTTCTGATTGGATGCAGTCTAAAATTCTTGAGAACAGAGAACAAAACTCTTTAAACCTGGGCATTAAATCGTATAACTTTTGGACTTCCAGGCACTTTTTTTTTTTGCTTAGGATTATAGCTGACATCTGAAATGACTAAACATTGAACCACTAAGCAAATGTAAATAGTTATTTGTTAGCCACATATGGTAGGGAAATGAAGCTTCTGTATTTTGAGTATTAAAGATTAAGACAAATAAATCTTTTTCCAGGAAGCTTTTATTATTGAAAATACTTTTAACAGCTAAAAATAGCATATAGTTTTCAGGATCAAATTATGACTGTGATTTAAAGTGTTGAAGTTTGGGGTGTTTATCCCTGATATGCAGTCAAAACACTGCAATATAATTTTTTTCTGATGGCCCACTGAACTTTGAAGGAAATGGGAAAGAGCCTTAAAGGGGTAGGATGGGGCAGGCAAACACATTGCCTCACATAACCACAAAGGGAGGGTTATTGTGCCATCAGTTACAGTTGGAGAGACTTTCTAACTTCGGAGCATTGATCATGTTTAACTTAATTTGTTACAGGTGGAAGTGCTGGATCAGTGAATGCTAATTTTGCTCACTTTGATAACTTCCCCAAATCCTCCAGTGCTGATTTTGGATCCTTCAATGCTTCTCAGAGCAACGCCACAGCAACTGCAGCCAGTAAAGCTGCAGTGAATAAACTGAATCTTCAGTCAGCTGACAAATATGCAGCTCTTGCTAATTTAGATAATATCTTCAGTGCAGGGCAAGGTATTAAACTTTATTGTTTGCCATGGTTGTTCTATATGTGTATAGTTACCACAAGGATGGCTGTCCTTGTCAAAGTACTGTAACAGTATTTCAAAATTTCCCTTCTCTAAGTGATCAGCAGAATTTTGTGTCAACGTACCCTTAAATGTGCAAGATATGAGTTTTAAGACATCGTTCCAAAAGGATGTCATTAGAAGACTGCTTTTTGGGAACCTATTTCCCATTGAATGAATAATTCAAAATTAAAATATCTAAATAATCATTACTTCAATAATGAAAACATAAAATACAAATACATATTTTATATTTGTACTACAACCTGTAGTGGATGCTCTGGAATGGAGAGCTGCAGTTATTGCAAAGAGCTACCAGAGCAGCTTTCTTACCTCTCTGCCACAAAAACAATAAAATAGTAGCAGTGATATTTGGATTTAGTTGATAGTAAATTGAGGAGAAAAAACTAGTTACTCTGTTACTCAAATGTAGTTCTTCTCGAATGCTGTGTTAAAACTTATGTTCATTTGTACTCCAGAGGTTTGTTCTGAAATGGATTATTTTGAGGTTAGGTGTTGTGTTCATTTTCTAGTTGAAGATGAATGGATTATTTTTCTAGGAAAACAAAAGCTCTTTGGGGTTGCAGAGTACCTATAGAGGCAGGACGTTTTGCTAACAGCTAATGGCTTGTTAAATACTTTTTCCTCTATGGCCTAGTGCATATTTAATTTTTAAGTCTGCAACCATCTGTGAACTTTCATTTAGTTCTCAATGTCAGCAGGGCAGGAAGTGAAACCATCTCCAGTATGCTTCATCTGCTTGCTTTCCTTCTAGGTGGGAGTGAGCAGGGAAGTGGCTTCAGCACAGCAGTGTCCTCAGCAGGCCCTGCCCTGTCAGCCCCCAACCAGTCAAGTGCATCTTCAGACAAGTACGCGGCGCTGGCGGAGCTGGACAGCGTCTTCAGCTCCACGGCCACCTCCAGCAACGCCTACACTGCCACCAGTAACGTCAGCAGGTACGCTGCCGGGCTGCTCACCGCCTGCAGCAGCGCTCAGCAGCTGGAAGGCGTTTCTCAAATCTGGTAGTTCTTATCTAAATGAGGAAGCACTGAATGAGTTTAAGGTAGTGCTGAAACTGCATCTCTTGTTTTCAATAACGGCTGGACGGAGGGATGGCTGACTCTAGGAATACTGTCAGCAGAATGTTCTCTGCACCTTTCTAGTCATGACATGTTAAACCTGTTTGATGGTAGCACTTTGCTCTGCAGAGCACTTGCATGCATACTCAAAATCAGAGGATCATCCCTGAAAAAATAATTCAGATATTTTTAATGTAAATAGTGCCACCCATTTCTGGATCACTGAAGTAACAAATACCAAATTCCTGTTAGGGGCTTGGCATTGCAAGTGCCCCTAAGGCTTTTGTTTTGCAACCCTTATGCTGTTGGCCTTAGCTCTATATTCCTTCTCCTGCTGTTGGTGGAGATGACTTTCTATTGCTCAGCACTAGTGAGAGTGTCTGACCTTGGCATCAGGGAGGTACATTGCAGTCTGCAAACTGCACATAAGCCTTCATCCCCTTTCTTTTACATGCCAGCAGTAACTGTAAATTGTATTTAATTATTAAACGAGCAATTCTGACTTCACTGAATGAATTGTATAAATTATTTCCAGCAATGCTTTTGGAACAGTACCTGTAGCTGCTACAGCACAGACACAGCCTGCATCTTCAAGCGTGCCTGCTCCATTTGGAGGTATGGAAGTGTTACTAACACCCTTTTGGGACTGTAAGCAAGCAATCAACTAATTTTTACTTGATAATGCTCTGCTTTGATACCACTACTATTGAAGCTAATAAAAGTACTATTAACAAAAAAGCATTTCTGTCAAAATAACTATATTTTGAATGTATCTTATAAATTCCTGATTTTTGGCCTAATTTTAGGTATTTATATGTCTTCGTATAAAGGCTGTATAGACTTCATGTGAGTGAGATTTGCTGTTAGAGAAATGCTGACTTAGTAAAATGTCTTTAATCTTTCAGCAACACCTTCCACAAATCCATTTGTAGCTGCCCCTGTTGCACCAGTGGCACCTTCAACAAATCCATTCCAGACCAATAGCCGAGGAGCAACAGGTTAGGAAAAAATACACTGAGTGTTTGAGAAACTTTCTTTAAAGAATTGCATTGATTCTTTTTTCCTGTATATGTGTAATATGTGTCTTAAAGATTTTCTGTATTATCTGTCCCTAGTCTGTTTGACATGTTTTGTGTTTGCTCAGTGTTGAGGTGCAATTCTAGGATTTCAAATGGTGGCGATGAAAAATGTCGAAATGATCTGTTTGAGCTCTGCCTGTTTGTAGTGTATGTATCACCAGCTGGCTTCCTTCCAAGACTATAACCTTGGCTTTAGAGCATGCTTTATAGAAGGTAGCCCTGAAATCAGGCATCTTGAAAGCCCTTCTTTTTAATTTCTTTCTTTATTTCCAAGTGTTGAAAGGTCTCAAAACCAAAGAGCTGGAACCAGAGCCATCACAAGGCTCTTGGGATGCTAGCTCCTCACCAGTCCACTTAATTAGTACATTAGCGTCTCTTTTTAAGGCATATGTTTAATCTTTACACTCATTTTTTATATTAATTTTCTGTGGGATGATTCTGTAGAATCATAATTCTGTGGGCAAAACGTAATCACTTTTTAAGAAAGCAAACTTCTACTTCTTTAGAACTATGAACTTGGATTAGGTGGCTGCTAGGTTATGCCGATTTTCCTCTCCAGAGCAACTGCTAAATTTTGACACTTTTATCTGTCAGCTGGACTTCAACAGAAGTCTGCTGATGTGTGCATTTTGACATTTGAGATGTGGTTTGCTCAATGATTTAGGTAAGCAGAGTTAAACACTGATTTGATAAATTTTTGTCCTCTGCTGAAGTTATTTCTGTGTTCAATCCATTTTGAGATACTACGCAGCTAAATTTGTTCAGATATTTAGTGCCCAAAATACCCTTTTTCTTTATTTTAATCCCATTCCTAAATGGGCTAGTTTGGATCATCGTTAAGAATTTGTAGCCTCTTGAGATAAATTTCTTTGAGTATGGCACCTCTATCCTTCCACCTTCTATGCAGCTGTCCCTGGCTTGCTGAGGTTCCAAGCCTTTGGCAGCGTCCTGATGTTCCACACTAGGTAATAGAAATAATGTCTATAAGTAAAGATAATTTCAGTGTAAGGTGTAAACTTATGGCTTGTCCTTTTATGTGTTCTTCCTGCATGAACTTTCCTATTTAGTACATGGGAGATCTGTTTTGTAGAGCTTATTTCTGATGGTTTTCTAATACTAATCTATTGCTGGTCATGCTATTGATGAACTGTTTGGTACATATATGTGTATCTATTTCTCTCTCTATATATATAAAACAAGAAATGACTGTTCAAGAGTGTATAAATGATTTGACATTGTCTGGTCTCTTTGTGGCTTCCATAAGGCCTCTCGGGAGCAATGCACTCTCACATATTTCCTCAGGCTCATTTTGGTAGGTGGCCACATTTGGTATCAAGTTTCTTGTGGCTAATTGTTCTTGCTTGTAAAAGCTTATTGACAGCTATCTGGTTCTCTGCACAAAGAATTGTGGAAGACTTCTTAAAAATGGAGAGGGTGTGGGTATTTGGCAACTGGGCAGAGGGAGAGAAGAACATACATAGACATCCTATCAAGCAACCAAAACAAAACCATTATTGGTATCATCCATGGTCACCATATAGTGCTTATGAATGACTGTTGAAGTTTCTGCCAACAGTAGTTTGATGCCTTTTGGGATATCCCAAGTCCCCTGCTGATTTTGTTGTGCTTCCTTTTGCTGTTTTAGCCAAGTTTGCTGTGGAGTAGCTGCTCTGCTCACTGTAACTTGAGAACAGTGTTAGTACAATAGTTTTGTGTGCACTTGTCTACGCTTTGTCTGTACAATGTCTTGCCCTAGAACACTTTTGGGGTAATTACTTCAACTGATAATTAAGCTATATTCATTAAATTTATTTTATTAGCTTTTTTAAACAGTTGAACTTGCTAAAAGGTTGCTAGTAACATTTCAAAAGAGAAGTCCTTTTTAACTAGCATAGAATACTTGTGTCTGTATTTGTACCAAAAATCTTCCTATGCACTTCTCTTTCCAAGAACAACTCCCAAAAGACTGAATAATGGTTTTGTTACTATACTTTTGCACCTCATGTGCTCATGTTTATTTGCTGAAGGCATGGGGAAATGCTCATGAGCTGTTTGTTCTTTACTCAAAATCTTCAGCAGAGAATCAGATGAAAAGTTTTGGGCTCTTTTTGTTTTAAGTTCTACCTCAACAGTAAGAGAGTTTGCAACAGAAACTTTGTGTGCAAATAATGTGCATGGTGAGAATCTCCTTAAAGACATTAAAGATGGGATGATAAAAGGGGATGCATGTATCCCTTTGTTTTTTGGTTTTTTTAATTTATAACCTCCTGTAGTGCAGCTTGAAGTAGGAAAATTCTTTCATGCTTTTCTCTGGAGAAAAACAGAGGGGCTTAGGCTGCCTGAACCTGCTTGCTTCTTATGTGTACAGACTTCTACCAGAAAAACTGTGGGGGAAATAGATGATAACACTCGGAAGAAAAAATAATTTCCTCTTCAGAAAGTATATCTGAATGTGCTGGATCTACTAAATTTTAAATAACACCATTCATTTTTAAAGTGTAAAGGCAAATTATGCACCCAGTTGGTGGTGATGGAAGGGAACAAATCAGTTCAGTGGCTGTGGAAGTTGAACCAAACTTTTGTCCAGTCACAGAGGGCATTAGAAGACTTTTAACATGGCCTTATAGTAATTTGTTTCATGAAAAAAAAAGATTTCTTACAAATAATTGCATGTTATTTTTTGCCTACCAGCAGCAACATTTGGTACTGCATCCATGAGCATGCCGGCAGGATTTGGAACTCCTGCCTCCTACAGTCTTCCTACTAGTTATAGTGGCAACTTCCAGCAGCCCACGTTCCCAACCCAGGCAGCTTTCCCTCAACAGACTGCTTTTGCTCAGCAGCCAAATGGTAGGTGTGCATGTTTTAGATAACCTTGTCTAAATCAGAAACATGGAGAAAATGCTCTGTCTATAAGTTGGCAGTAATGGGTAGATACTTATTTCTGCATGAACTTGATAGTAATGTTGATGAAGGGTTCCCACACTGTTCTGGCTCTGTAGATTAGCCTTCTGACTTGGCTGTGTGCAATTGCCTAATTACCAAACTGAAATTTTACCAAAATCTCATACTAAAATGGTAAGTATTCCCAGGCTTAAAGGGGTTTTAGGCAAGAAGGGCTGTTTGGGAATGTCTGCAACACACTATTACACTTCCTCTAACTTCATAGAACACAGGCAAGAGAAAATTGGAAAGTATTTTCTCCCTGAATTTTTATGATACAACATTGAAAAAAGTGCATATGTAGAAATTGGAGATGTATGAGGTGTGAGCAGTTGAAAACAAAAAGCTCAGCCACAGTGTTTCACACTTACATTCCTGATCATGTTTAAGTAGGATCAGTCCTGCTGATTCTGCAGTTCAAACTTACACTTAATTTTGGCTGGGAGCTGCAGCAAAGAACTCTTTGAACATTGTTTACTAGTATTAATATTCTTTTGCTTTTCTTTCCAAGGAGCAGGTTTTGCTACATTTGGGCAAGCAAAGCCTGTAGTAACTCCTTTTGGACAAGTTGCAGCTGTTGGAGTATCTAGTAACCCTTTTATGGTGAGTTGTTGCATGTCAATGACTTCTGTATGTCCAAAGAAGAATAGTCTGTAACACTTAATTTAGAGATACACAAAGATTAGGGGGTTTTCTTGCTTTTAATAATGGAAGGAAGCATGTGACTCTCCTAACTGGAGCTCACTATTTGGATTTATGCCATTTGTAAGGATGGTCAGATCAAAGCAGAGGTACTTTCATACATGTTCCCAGAGTAGTGTAATTCTAGAGAAGCAGCAGAAAGCAGATTGCAATGTAAAACAGAAGTACTCCCCAGCAGGTTATTTTTTAAAAATATATTCTGCATTTATTATTTACAATACGGAAAAAAAAATTAAAATACTTGCCTTATTTTTCTTTGTTCCTTTTCCCCCAGGCTGGTGCACCAACAGGACAATTTCCAACAGGAAGCTCATCAACCAATCCTTTCTTATAGCCTTATAGACACTTTACCCAAAAGAACTCTTATGTGGTCACATAACATCTCTGCGCCTCTTGCACTGTTGTCTTGTTTCACTGATATTAGCTTTAAACACAAAAGAAGTCTTTAAGAAGTAAAAATAAAAGCCTGCATTGTGTACCTTTAAAAAGTTTCAAAAAGGAAAAAAAAAACCACCTGACACAAAAAGCAAGAAAACCAACCCCCACCAGGTAATAACGTGCAAAACAGAGGGCTGTGGGAACATCCTTGAACCTGTGAAGTGGCAGGTACAAAGTAGCGGTATCATGTGTATTAAAATTGGCTAATAAGTTATTGCAGATACCACACTCATTATGCTGCAGTACTGTACATATTTTTCTTAGAAAATAGCTATTTGTGCATATCAGTATTTGTAACTTTAACACATTGTTATGTGAAAAATGTTACTGGGGAATAATCAGCCACTTTAAGGTGCTGTTGTATCTCTTGGAATGAATGAGCTGCATCATTTTAACCATTGGTATTGGAAGTCACGAAGTTAAATTGAAGGTTTGTTCATTTCTCAAAATGTTTTCCTTTCCTAAGAGCTCTTCTATTTATACATGCCTAAATCTCTAATGTTAGAGGGATACCTGTCTGCATAATAAAGCTGATCATGTTTTGCTACAGTTTGCAGGTGAAAAAATAAATATTAGAAAAAAACCCCTGTGTAGCATTATTTCTGTGCAGTAACATGTACTGGATGAAAATGTACACACTGTGTCCTGTACACAGATGAGGTGTCCAAAGCAATGTGCTTAAAGGTGAGCTAAGCTTAAAATTTTCACATGCCTCACTTGGATGTGTTTCTTTTTGCCCTTGTGATGAAGCTCGCTGTTCTACCTCAAGTGAAGTGACTTGTCACACAGGAGAGTGTTAGGTGAGGTTTGGATAGAGTATGTCATGAAGGACACTGGAAGCACTGGGAAGGGTAGTTATTGGAGAGAAGGTTTGCAGTAAAAGACACCTTATTATGAATAACTAATGACAGGCTCTGAACAAGCCTTAGTTGTGGTCTGAACAGAGTGTGTAACAGCAGGCCAAGGGACCACAGATGTAATAGCCCTCTCTTTATTAAAAACTGATACATATCAGTAAGAGCTCCTGTGGAATATTAAATTTTTTTTTTAATTTACAGAAATATTTCCTGCCATACTACAGTGAAACTTATAGAGAGAAAAATGTCTGGCTTGTCTTCCTCTGTAACATTGATAAGATTCAAGGAAAGTATAACTGCATCAAAGTAGTTGGTGTTTTAAGCAGAAATAAATTTGGCTACAGTTCAAGTGTAATACTGGAACTAAGCAAATAATGTAAGTACATTGTATATATAAACTGCAAGCTTAAAGGTTTCTGACCAGCTGGAGAAGAAAATTCTAACAGCTTTCAAGATAACAGGAATAAATACGGTGAGATTGACTTTCTTTAAAAAGGACAGACGAATCCATTTGAGATAAACACAAAAATTCTTCAAGGTAAGACATTTCACTTGTAAATGACTGCCTGAATGTTGTCTAGGTTTTTCTAGGGCATCTGAAAGGTTTGACCTCTGCTTGTAAAAACATTTGTGCTAATGCTTTTGACGTGTGTTGCCTGCCTATGGGGGTTGTAATTTCTTTTTGTTTCTGTTTTTTAAACGTTAGAGATACCAAGCTGGAGACAGGCAACTTATAAAACATGCTGCAAGTTTTCTGTACTTAAATGCCTGGTTTTGTCCTGTTGCTATATTTAAAACAGGCTTGAAGGCTCCCTTTTTTTTTTTTTCATGGAGACTGCTCAACAGAGTGTGGTGTTGAGTTCAGTTCCCAACATTCTCATGGGAATTCACTGAAGAAATCCCCAGCAACTGGAGGTCTTCAGGGTATTAGTAACACCCTTACTCTCACCACTGTATTTTAGCACAGTGTAAATAGCTGTAACTCTCCCTGTTCCCCAACCTTGGCTTTTTGGATAGTACGAGGTAAATGCAGTAGAGAATGGAGAACTGCAGGGGTTCAGCAGGGCTTGTGGAGTACTTAAAAATGCTTAGTGCTGAGAACTGGACCAAATCAAAGAGATGTCTTGTCAATGAGATGAGAAGTGTTATGAAAGAGCAACAATTCTGTGCCCTCTTCACTTACAGTGGTGTAAATTAGGCTTTGGACAAGGGCTAATGAGATCAGCATCTATAGAGATTGTTCTAATCCAAATATTATTGCTGATACACTGAAACTGATTGAAGTATGCAAGGCATGTAGTGTAGAATATGCTGTAGAAGTAGTGGAATGCTTTATTTTACATAACTGAATTATGACAGATAAAAGGTTTGCAACTTTTAACTACACACAAGCACACCTCTTTAGTCTGTGTTCACGGATTTTAGATTTGTCCAATTCCAGGTAAGCTGAAGATCTTGTATAGTTTGAGTTTTCTGTATATTGAGCATAAACTGACACCATTGGTGTTTCGTTGATTAGGTTTTAAAATAGCTTTATTTACAAAATGAATTTTTCAGCCCTGATTTTAAATGTTTTATCATGCAGATCTCTGCAGTTATTCCCTCAATTGTTCATGCAAATAGCATAGTTGCCTAAAAGCTGTATTTTTGTGTTTTAGCATCAAAGCACTTCACTTGATAACTTTAGGCCCCTTATACAGAAATCATTATGGAGACCTCCTAGATTAGGCTTCAGTCCTAAACATCAGCTGTTACAAGTGTAAGAAGATGCTACACTTGCAGGACCATCCTGAGCTCTGTAAGGCAGATGTGATGTCCAGTTGAAAAAGTCTTAAATTTTCCAAAGGCCTCTGTGACAAATTTTCTGACAGGTCATTGTATGGTTCAACTGCTTTAGATTGCCTGGGCATGTCTGTGAGTTCTTCTGATGCGAGGTTCAGGCATTTGTATGTCCTTGTGCTCACTGAGCCTTAATAAAGTTTATATGTCAGATCACTAAACTTGAATTAGAAGACTGTTTGAGGAATGTTTGTATTAAACTGTTGGTGAAGAAATTGGAGGAAATGCATTGTCCTGTTGACAAAGCTCTCTGTGCAGTAGGCTCATAAACAGCTTGCTTCAACCTAGACCAGTTTTCCTTGATTGAACGTTATATTTCTCTTGATTTCTTGTCCAGATGACGGAGCCTTCTGCATTGTTGCTTGTAACCATTGCTTTTTTCTTGGTTGTTAAGGGGCAGTGCTTTCAGCGGCCACACTTGTATTTCTGCATTTGATGGAAATTATGGTGTACATGCTTCTGATCAGGAAAATTGCAGTTATGACTGTGAAGTAGCTGCCATAAATGAGAAACTGGGAAATGGAGGTGGGGAGGGAGAAAAGTAGTTATCTAACAGGAGAAACAGTTTTTGACTCTAAGGGGTGTCTCTCCATTGCTGCCTTCCCTTCCCTGTCACATGTGCCCAGAATGACCCCATTTTGAGAGGATTCAAAAGTCTGGACTGCTTGACTTTACACTATAGAAATTCTGTGGTTGTAAAAGGGGGAGACAATGTTCTGATATGTCCTTCCCCACCTCAGTAAGGGAGGACAGCTGTCTTGCACTTTGTCTTTTTACTGGAAACATGAAAGCTAGAGTCTTAGACTCATTAAGTGTCTCCGTTTAAACTAATTTCAGCAGTTTAATGGGGAATTGCCAGGAGTTAATTTTCACAATTACAGTAACTTTAAAGGTGTGTCCACTGGAACTATGTAACTTAGAATTACCCTAGTAGTTGACCCATAGGTTGTCTTTCAACTGGCTTCCTGCTTCTGGTTAGGGTATTTTGACTATAAACTTGTGAATAGTAAGCCTTTAATTGAAAGAATACCCAAAGTAATAGGTGGTCACCTTTGCCCTCTGTTTTGTGAACACAGAATATTTTCCAGTCATCCCAGTATTAAAAGGCTTAGAGGACAAGCAGGTTGTAGTAGTTCAAGCCAGTTCATTTTAAATGAGTCATTTTCCAGGTGAGTAACTGTCCTGAGCTTGCACATTACCACAGGCTAATCTTGGAGTAGAACCTGCTTTTGAAGGAGAGTAGGGGAACTAAGCAGTGGGACTCAGTGGCTTACCTGAGTGCTGATATCCAGTCCCAGACCGCTTGAATCTACTACAACAACAGTTAAAATCGTCTGAATCACCAGTGCAACAAAGTTGTTGAAGCCAAACATCAAAGCATAGCGCTCCATGCTGAGGTTGACAGCAATCTGAAACCTGATAATGAATGCACAGGTTCACAAAACCGTGGAGAGCAAGGATGGCTGGATGCACTTATGGGAACAGTTTAATGGGCACTGCACTCTTCAAAGGACAAGATCACTTCAGTCTTGGCTATTAAGCTTTACCAGCTTCATTTTGACAGAAATTTTTGTTTTTTCTGGCTTTGTGACTTTTGTGCATCTTATTTACCCTTGAGTGAATATTTTTGCTAAATACCTGTGTATATTCTTTGGATCATTTTAAGAATACTCATGCATTGGTCATTGAACGGCCAAGTGCAGAAACTACCTTGTTCTGACTTGGACTGTGCTATGGTAATGGTTAGGTCATATAATTTTACCCAGTTTTATACAGGCTAGAAACAATATATGCTGCTGTCATAACCTATTTGTATTTATATCTAGGGAAACATCCAGTAAAATTTTGATAAATATAGGAATTTGACAGTGATTTAAATCAATTTAGTTAGAACAGTTGTGTGTTGTACTTACGTGGCTATTGTTATGAGGAGCATATAGCAAGCTTTAAATGCAAGGTAGCCAGCATAACATGCCCAGATGTTGTCAGTGAAGTGCATAAGAAGCAGAGAACCACTATCCAGTGCAGAGAAAATTCCCAAAGCCAGTTCTCCAGAGACATCCCAGTTTATTTTGACATATCCAACTGCCATGGATGTTGCTGAACCTGAAAATTGAAAAGTAGTAATTAAAACTTTGAAACATTATCATTGAGAGCCATTGCACAACTGTCATTGGATCATGCCAGGAGCTCTTCAGTCTTGCTCACAGTGGACTTTGGTAATGGTGTGGATCATATTTCTTGTTAGGGGTGTGGGAGTGTTCTGTTAGTTTGGATGTTTTCCTCCTTGCTTAGACCTTCACTGCCTGAAGTGCTCTGGGAAAGTGCCTCATGCCTAAGGCTGGAGGCAGCAGTGCACTATCTGTTGTTGCTCTGTTTTTAGACAACTGTGAGCAAAGAGAAGAACAATCCCACCAAGCATTTTCTTTTAAAATATGTATAATGAGTTTAATTCATGTGAAGTTCTTTAAGGAAAGAAAACCTTAGCACTTTATGCTTTTTTTTTACTGAAAGTGTATTTTCAGTTTCTAGTGAAAAGCCTTATGAAACTGCATTTGTCGATGTATTATTGGCCATCACATGTTAAAACCCTTACTTGAGTCTATTACAGTGTAGCAAACCCCATGTTCTCAGGTGGGCTAGCACAATAACTGGACTTTTTTTGCTGGTTGTATGTGTTCTTCATCAGAATTCCAAAAATTGGAGCAAACCAACCCCTTTGGTCCATCCCTGCCATGAGCAGTGGTTCCCAGTGCTGAGAGTGCCTTCTGTATTCTGAAGTTGTGTCAAGTGCCACAGGGTGTAAGTGCAAGAAAGACTTTGGGAACTCTGTTCAAAGCAGTAGTCAGAAGTTCTGGAGTAGCTTCAGTAAAATGGATTTTCAGGCTGATTGCAGGGAGGAAAAGTAACCTGACAATTCCCTGTAGCAGTGTGGGATACAGCTCCTGGAATATAGGGAGAGACAGCTGTGTAAATAGGAGCTCCAAAAGGAGGCTGTATTGGTGCTGCACAGCCATGTAAATGAAGTTTCACTTTACCCATATCCTTCTGTGGCTAAAGAGAAATGGAATTTGGGTGGACCAGGTGTAACTAATGAGAAGCAGAATGGCTGAGGTTGGAGGAGATGGAGGTCACATGGCCCTGTTAAAAGCTGCCAGCTAAAGGAAGCTGCTCAGGATGGTGCCTAGGTTTTGACTCTAGGATGGAGTGTCCACACCTCTGGCCAACCTGTTCCTGTTTAAAATCACCCTTGGAATAAAAATGTTCCTCTGTGTTTAAATGGAACTTTACTTGATTTTGTACCCCTTGACTCTTGTCCTGGCACTGGCAACCACTGGGAAGAGCATGGTTTCATCCTCTTTGCTCCTTCCCTTCAAGTCTCTATGCACATTAACAAGATTTCTTGGTTTTCAAAGGTAAACAATTACAGTGCTCTCAGCCTTGTCACATCACAGAAATGGTTTCACAAAATATTCTAACTTGTAAGGGACCCACAAGGACCATCAAGTTGAGCTCTGAAGTGAATTGCCCATACAGGGGTTGAGCACACAACCTTTGTTATGGCAAACATGCCAGTCAGGACACAGATGTATTCAGAATATTTGTTGAGGAGCACTTAGACTGGAAGGATTTTTAATCCAGTGTCTAAATAGACATTTTCACAATATGCTCTGAGTAGTATTTAGAGCAGTGTATCTCCTAACATGTTTTTTTAATTCTTAAAGCAGCCAGCTTAAGGTGTATTTGAAGGAGGAATATGGAAGATATCATTGCACAGTTTTGATATGCTTACTTGAGGTTAAAGACATGGTCTAAACAGAGCAGTAAACTTAAAATATTTTGGCAGGATGAGTCTCCTCTAAGAAGGAAAAGCTTATTTATATATGTTTTAAGACTAATTCTGAAGAGCCCACTGTAAAAGTTTATAGTAAAGTCATGCTTTGCACACTGTTTATCTCTGTCTGTTTACTCAGTCCTCAAAGGAGATGGGAAGGTACCAAACCCATTGCTGAAGAGTCCCTCAGCACAGGATGTGTTCCAAGCTAATGATTGCTTACCCAAGAAAGTTGCTATGGCTTCCACAGCTCCGTTGTACACTGCGGAGCTGTGCGAGGGGGCTCGGAAGTCCCACAGCACCTGGACGTAATTCACCACCTGGTTGAAGCCGGCCGTGGCCAGAGCCCACCACAGGGACCAGCAGAGGAGCTTGCGGGAGCCGTAGCAGTGCCTCAGGTCCCTGCCCAGCTGCAGCAGCACGCTCAGCAGGTGCCTGTGGGGCCCGGCACTGCCAGCCTGGCGCTGGGGGCTCAGGGCCCTGGCAGCAGCATCAGGGCTCCTCTCCTCTTGGCAGCTCTGGGGCCTGGGGGCAGTGGCCACAGGCAGCTCTTTGCCAGGCCCTGGCACAGGCTCAGGGGCATCTTTCCTGTGGAAGAACATGCTCCTCTGGGGCATGGGCAGGAAGAGCGCGCACACGAATGCCAGGGACACGGAAGCCAAGCTGATGGCGTTGAGGTGGAAGTAGGAGACGCCTGCTAAGGACACCAGCAGCTGGCCCAGCACGGCGGCCACGGTGGCTGCCACCAGAGTGACGCTCCTGCAGTAGCTGGTGACCCTCTGGTAGTGTTGGCTGCTGACCACGCTGTAGATGTAGGCGTAATAGGCCACCTCGGTGGCTGTGACCATGCCATAGAAGAATTCCACCAGCTGCATGGCCACCACTCCATGTGCAAAGAGCAGCAGGAGCCACGTGACAATGAGGCTGATGCCCTGCAGGAGGACGACGGGCTTGTAGCGCACATAGTCTGTGAGCAGGAACACTGGGAAAAGGAGAGCCAGGTAGGAGTATGTCCAGACTGGAAAAATCTGGTTGGTAACCTAGAACACAATGAAAGAGGAGATGTTAAACAAACAAAACAGCCCCAACCCCTCCATATGTTTAAAATAGCCCCTTGCGTGGTTTTTGATGGTGTTACTGCTCAAATGACATAGTCTGATGATATGAAACGTTGAAATGTCTGAACAGTGCAGGTTTAAACTGCTTTTAGTTACAAGACTGTGACTTCACTATGTAAGGGCTAAAGACAGTGATGCTATGCTCCACTACAGAAACATAGATTGGCTTAAAAAGTAATTCCAATAAAGGCCTATGAAGAAGACAGGTTTTGATGTGCAGCTGTTTAAAGCAATTTTAACTTTGTGTCTGATGTAAGTCTCTCTAGTTTCAAATCCTATTCCCTACAGTATCTGACAATGAAGGCCTGTTTTAACTTAATGTGAGTCATTGTATACCTTTGGTCACGTCTTTCCCTTGTTAGGTGTAGATAAAAGCATGTGCTTCTTACAAAGGGGAACTGGAGCTGCACAGAGTGTGTAGCTGCTACTGGGGTACTGCACCTTCTATGTTTTTTTCTGATTTAAAGTAAATTTGAAGTAAAGAAGTCTTTCAGTAAGTTTAAGTTGGACTTCAATACATAGATGCCCTGTGAAGAACTTCTTTCTCTTTTTTCTAAAACTCGTCTGATTTTGGGTTGGAAGGTGCTGTTTGTGGTTGCCACTCAAGCTCAGTGCTTGCCTGGACAGTTAGGGCAGACCTGGGGCAGGTATCCTTATAGATGCACATCACAAAGCAACCTTCTTCTCTGACTCTATTGCCTGTTTTGGACAGGTCTTGCCCAGTAATTGTGGGGCCTGCTGAGGTGTCGATTCCTATCTCTTGTTCTCTGCTTAAGCAATTAGACTAGAAAGGAACTGTATCAAATGCTGGAGGAATGCTTTTTACTTCTGAACAGGTACTGGAATGATTTTGCATAGTGAGCAGCAGGTTCGCTGTATCTTTCTGTGTGACTTCTTTTGTTTCCCTGAACTTAGAATTACCTCATTGAATTAACTCGAGGTGAGTTTGGCTGAAAGAGACAATATCTGTACTCTGCTTGATTTTGAGTTAAGGATTCTTGCTGAAATCAGACTTAAGGCATTCTCTGATGCTATCTGTGTGATTTATATAAGAAATAATGCTTTCTTTTGTGGTTAAAAAAATAATTAAAAAGGGGGAGAAAAAAACTCCCTGACAACCTAAACCACAAATACCTTTTTTCAGCAGAAACCTTGGGTTCACAGTGTGCTGGTAGATTCTGCCTTAACATTTGCTACTGCACATCAGGAATGACTGTTCTTCATATTAGCTGTATGTGGGTGTAGCAAGCCTGTGTTTTCTAATTATACCGTTAGCTCCATGACTCAGCCACGTGTTAACCATGTCCCCTTTTGTTGGGAGGTGTACTCCTGAAGCAGCCAGTGCTGAACACAGCACATAGCAAGGAAGCTTGGAGTGCATGTTTTTGTCAGAGACCCCCAATTTTTCTGAATGTGAACTTAAACTCCACAGGTTAATGAATGCATGAAATATAGGGAATATAGGAAATAAGCTTACAACTCATAAGGGGAAGGCTGCTTAGCTGTGAAGGCTGCTTAGCTTTCTTGTGTTTTGAAATCAATTCTGTCAGTGTAATCAATTCCATGGTAAGTATAAATAAATGTCTCCTCTGGGGTGGAGAGAGGAACTAGCTGACCTGATTTTGCCAAAAATATCAACCACCAAAGGGGTTTCAAAGCCCTGAGAATGTAGGGACTTTAAAGTTTGGACCTCCTGCCAAAGAGGTGACTCCTGACTCTTTTCCAGAAGCATCTTAAATATATCTATCTTTAAATAAAATATTCACACTTATCTTCCCTTTAGTTACTGCTGTAAGGCCTAATGCTTTAAGCATTTTAGTTACTGCTTAAGAGAATAGTTACATACCTCTTCAGCCGTTAGGTTTTTGTCTGGTCCTGTTAGATAGGGGGTGAGAAAAGATTCTGATGGCCTCATTGTGGTGAAAAATCCATTTGCACAGATGATCACCGTGGGATAAATCCAGCTGTGGCTTACGGCTCCCTTCCAGCAATCCATAATCTACCTAAACAAACAAAAAAAAAAGGTGGCAAAGGAAGAATAGATGCTCTTCACAGTTGGTAAAAATTAATTTTCAAGTTTACATTTTAACTAAACCTACAGTCACTCCCCTGCAGCCATAACCACCAGTGAGGGCTGTGGTGGTGGCATCTCTGGGACACCTCTGGCACACTCCTGAGGCTGAGATTCTTTGCTGCAACACATTCTTAGTAAGTGACTAACAGTGTGCTCAGCTTTGAAACCTTGGCTAAGTCATATAAAGAACTTATTGCATATATTGCATAATCCTTTAGATGGAAGCAGTTGACCAAATCTGGGACCAAGAGTGGGTCTAAGCTGCACCCAGGCTCCTCTCTGAGAGGAGTTTAGAACTCAGTGACTTAGCAGGAGAGTCTCTCTGACAGTTTAACCTGATCTTGCCGTCTCTGCACTAAATCAAGCACACTTTCCTGTTGAGTCTTGTTAAACCACTGTCACATTTACCACTGAACTTTGTTATATTGATAAAGGGCATTGTCACTTCTGTCTCATGAGTGAAGTGCATGGCTCCAGCTGTGCCACATGCCTAAGCCAATGTTCCCTCACTGAACCTGCCTGGCATCACAGCTGCAGTTTGGAAATGAGCAACTGGATCAAGGTGCACCAGCCCTGGTAAACTCTGTATTGTCTGTCAAAGGTTGTTCGTGGTGACGTGCTTAGGGCTCAGTGGCTGTGCTGTAGCAGAAGAATAAAGTTCCATTATAGTCTCATTTCTGAATAAATAGGTGGGATCAAAGCTCATTCTGTGTGCTCAAGGAGGTTTTTTTCTGTTGACTTGCAAATCTGTTTGATTTTTTTGTTGACTTTTTTGATTTGACACAATGACCATGCAAAAGTTCTTGATGGCAATAAAACCATCAGGCAGCTCAACCCATTGTGATCTCAGCTTCTTAAAAATGCTTTAACGCTTACCATGTTTCTTGCATTCCAGTCATTGGAGAGGGTAAAAAAAGACCCAGAAACTATCAGCTCATGGTACCTGCTCAGACTTAGAATAGAGAACTATTGACTTCACTTTTGAAAGTGATGACCAAAAGGAAAAGGAGGCTTGTTTCTTCAGTGTAGCTGGCAGTAAAAAGAAGTCTAGAAAGATTTGGTTTTTAAGTTTATTTTACTTCTTTTGTGTTAAAAAGTCAATTTCACTGATCCTGAAATAACTGAAATAGTGTTTTCAATCATAAGCAAATGAAAGCAAAGCATTAGCTGATGTCTAATCATGCTGCTACAAGCTGTGTATCTTAAATTGCTGAATTCCACTCTATAGCAGGCACTTTTTCAAAAGTGCTTCTGCTTGCACTGTGAGATGATATCCATTAAAACTTAGTATAGATTGTATATTATAAAGACAATATTTCTGTGACCTCAGAGGAATAGAAAAAGCAGCCCTAACCTTGTAACTTGATTTTTAAAAATGTCCTTTGTCATCTTTCTCTTACAAATAATTGTAAATAAAATATAGCTTCTAGTATCTTTAACTCAAGACCTTGTTTGAAATGTGATAAAAATATAAAAAATTAAGCCTGGGCTGATCAGTAACATCTCCATAAATCTTGCATCATCTCCAAATGCACTGAGCAAGTGCGTAGCCAGCACACTCCAAATAATGATGAATTACCTGTCAAGGCTCTGGCTGTGGAGGATTTCCTGTGGATTCAGGTGCAGTTCTTCCTTGGATGACTTTGTCTTGCAGAGAAGTGAGAAACCACCCTTTCAAGCTGGTGGTAGTCAGATATTTCTGTAACTTTTTTCCAAAATGTTATTTCTAAACTTGAAAATATTATCAGAATTGAAATAATAATAATAACAACTTGTCATAGCTGTTCTTTCTTGCAGAACTTGTCCATGAAGATTGTAGGGAAAGTGTTCTTTATGGGTTTTGTCAGCAAACTGAGTTCTATTTTTAAGATAAAACTAGAAGACTTAGTGTAGCTAATGATTAATAAAACCTGTTGTGACAAGAAAGCAATGATTGCATTCTTTCTGTTAATAAATACCATTAAAAGCTCTGGTCTCTGATTTATGGAAAGACAGATAACCAGTTTTACAATTTGGACTAACTCTCCCTGTCCCGTGCATAGCACAGAGGCCTCTGGGCTTGTGGGGCTGCTCTGACTGTCCTGGCTCTGCTGGGGCTATGGGAGGTGGGACAGCAAATGCTTCCTACTGTTAGTTGGCCTGGAATTACTTCTGTATAGGAACAGATCTGACATTTAAGGACAAAGGGATGAAATTCAACTGCTAAATCTAGGTTCTTAGCTAAAAAATTAACAGGCTTGTTTCAGAGAAATGCTGCTGCTTTGCTTTCCTTTACCCATATTTTTCAGACTGTACTGCCTGCATGTTCCAAGGTTCATCAGAGGCTGGAGTTCACCACAAAGCCTGTTGGTAGGACGTGTGTTGACCCTGGGAGCAGAAGCTGAGGCCCTGGCAGGAGAGGCCCTTTGGGAGCTTGACAGAGCCTGGTCTGGTCCTGCAGGTATGGGAGGTTCCCTCAGGGCTGAAGTGTGTGGTGCAAGCAGGCAGGAAATGCTCAGGAGAGCTGGGCCTGCCTCTGCCCTTCATCCTCCTCCCTGGCCAAGGGCTTTGAGGCAGGGAAAGGACCTTGGAAGGGAAGGTGCTGCTGGGCAGGGGCTGAAAGGGCTGCTGGCTTGTGTTTCTCTGGTAGCCCACACAGTGCTTGGGCAGTACCTGCATGTTTTGAATACAAACACACATTTGTTCCTTGTTTGCTCAAACTGGCCTTACCAGCTTGTTAGACAGAAGGTTTGTGCCCAAACCCACTAAAGTTTCAAAGGTAATTAGTGGTGTATTTAGAGGGGGTTGCAGCTATGGGGAGGAATGTGTCCAGCTCTGGAGTTCCGTGTTTGCATGGAAACCTTTAACATGCTGGAAGAAAGACAAGCAGCACTAAAAGTTGCTAGGAGAGGTGGATGTTGAGAATTTCCTTTTCCCATAGAACTAGACAGCCTGTGGTTCCAGCCTTCCTTGTAACCTGCCAAGTCTCAATTATCTCCTCTCCAGAGTGTCTGTGTGCAGGTACACAAACACACAGGTGCAAGTGTACATCTTATTCTTTTAGAAACCTCTGACTGCTGGGTGAGTTCTGATTTGCAGCTGAAAACCCAGGATAACATAAGGCCTTGTCTTTCTCCTCCTAACACTCCTAAGAGCTGCCTTCTTCATTCCCTATTTCCTCCATATTGCTTCCTGCCAGCTTCCAACCTCAGAATCATTATTTTGGAGATCAGAGAGAATAGGAATGGATTTTTTTCTTTAAAGTCTTATCTGTTTTCTGAAGATAGTTTTCTCTAAAGCTGCAAGCCAAATACACTGTGTCTGCTCAGTCCTTTGCTCCTCAGTGGCATCCTACAGACACAGAGAGAAGTTAGCTCTAGCCAGAATGGAGCTGAAAATATGAAGTTCCTCTTCTTAATTTAAACACAAGCTCTTGATAACTTCTAGTCTGGTACTGGCATCTAGTTCTAAACTGAGTGCCTTACAAGAAGATTACTACTCACAAGGAAGAATAGAAAAATAGTCTTTACTCTCCTGGATTCTATCCCTGTTTCTTCAGGCAGGAGCATCATGCCCTCAGTTCTGAAGTAAGAAAAGAACTGTCACTGGAGACTAAGTGCATCTCCTATTTTTATGACTGTAATGGTTAAACTGTTTTGCTTAGAGCCAGTTTACAACAGACAATGTCCCCACAATGCACAGTAGTAAACAAAAGGCCTAAAAAATTAGCCAGGTTCATTTTGTCAGATCCTACTGATTCTTCTTGTGACTTGAAACAAATTGCTTCTGTCCTGCCTGCCCTTGCCTCTGGGCACTTTGTCTAGTTGCAGTGTGTGGCAATGGTATGAAAAGCTGGTATGGCTGAACAAATGATAGCTTGTGCCTCTACAGGAAAAATATTCTGTAAATGCTAAGTGGTTTTTATTAGTTAGATGTAGATATTGGAAGCTAGAAGCAAACAGCAGTACAGAAATAACTTCAGCATATGGATATGGTTCATATTAAATTAGACATTCACTATGCAAACTCATTTCTAGTGTCTTTTTTCTTCTCCTGGACTGTCTTTTGGACAAAATTAGCTGTAGGACTTGGAGCTTCTTGACATGAGTTCGGCTGATCCTGCCAAATTCTTGGCCAAGATCAGTGGACCTCCCTCACTTGGCACTCAAAAACACACATGATGCACACTGTTTGTTTCAGTTATAAGTCTTGGATATTCCTGTTAATCTGGAATTTTCCTCTGTGGAATCAGCTAAATTTCTCTGCAATGTCCTTCTCTGATTTTAGTCTGTGCGACTTAAGCTCTTTCATATTATTTTTTTCCTGCTGAAAGAGGAAGATAGTCAGTCCTGAGTTTAATTTTACTGGCAGCACAAAGGAGTAGTGCTCTTGCATTTTGCTTGGATTCTGGAGTTTTTCCCTTCTCAGCAGAGGTTGCTGTGAAGTCAGCACAGTGTTTGTAGCTCTCAAATGTGGGCCAAGCAACAACTGTGATGTTGCAGTGTAGCTCCCAGGACAGGTTGTGCAAGCCCAGCTTTTTGCAGCCTGTGTGCACTGAGCTGTGGGATGAGACAGGAGGAGCCTGTCCCCCATCTGCCTGTACTGGGTATGAAAGAATAGCATGATGCAAACATGATCTTTTCTTCCTTGAATCAGAACAAGGGCTGTGCAAAGGGGAGTCACACCCTCAGCCACTGCACCAGCAAATGTGACAGAAGCAGCTTTGCTAGCACCTCATTCAGGAGCTACAATGAGCAAGGCAGGGTGAACTCTGCTCTCTGCCATCATGCACAGGGGGAATGCAAAGGTGGTTGCTCTGATTCTGTGTATAACTTACTGCCCTTAAGCTATTTATATGCATGTAAATAAGAATCTAAAGCAACTTATCTTTTATTCTTGGCACAGTGCCATTCTGGTGAGCTCTCTGCTGGCATATGTTGTGCTGAAGTGCTGGAATGATTCAGCGTAGCTTTTCAGGGCTGAGTTGAATGTTCTTCTTGCACTGCTGTTCCCTGCATGCTGCTCTTCTTCCCTGCTGGGAGCCCTTCTCCCAGGAGAAGCCCTTCTCCAGGGTGCCTGCCTCCTATAGCCGTGTCATGCAGCTTGTGACAATCTGCTCTCTTGACTCATGCTCAGCCTGGTTCAGCTGCTCTGTGCAAGATCTCACTATTTTCCTTTGGCATTTGCATGAGATGAGCACACAAATGCTTCTGATCATGAAAATCCCATGTATGACTGCGAAGTAGCTGCCATAAATTAAAAACTGGGAGAGGAGGAGAAAAAGGCAGAACAATTAATGAAAAACACATTAGAGAAATGCTGCTTCTTCTGAAGATGACAGTCACTCTGATTTTCTTGTGTTCTGGCAGTTCTCTACACTTGAGTTTTTGCTTTGTGATTAAGCAAAATCTCAGCTTTTCAAGTATTCAGCAGATAACTGTGAAATAAAGAACTGCCCTTTTCTTCCATTCCTTATGCCTCTTAACAAACGTCAGACAGGGAGAGGGATAAGAACAGGATATTTTTTTCCTATTAGTGCCAAATGTAGAAGTACCTTCATTACCCACATGGTCATGAATAATCTGCATGAAGACCCTGAGCTCATCCTTGTTTTGCTTTTACACATTTCAGTAAATGTCACCACAATGGTTTCAGTAAATACCCTGTGATTTTATATCAGCATTTCCAGCAACAGTGGCAAGGCTATTTAAATCTTTAAAATTAAGGACAGGAATATGTAGGACTTCATCATGTTTGATTCAATCTTTACTCTTTGAAAGTCACTTTTGCCTTCTCTGTGCAGAGCGTCAATAGCTTTAATCTTCTTCAGACCCATTAGAGTAGAAAGCTGCCCCAGCTGAGAGCCCATCTGAGGAAATGCAGAAGTCAGTAGGTTTCAGTTGACTTCATCTGAGTGACATTGGGTTGAATTTAGGGACACTGTTGTGAGATAGGGTGTCCCATCCCAAATGAAGTGCCCAAGCTGTGGGCAGAAGACTCTATTGCACATGTTGAGATACAGACCAGGTTTGCTCCTGAGCTGGAATCAGAAGTTACTTGAGCTGAAATAACTCAAATAATCCAGACTGTGACTCATAGTCTTGAACCCCCATTCTGCATCTGACAAAACCAGTCTGAGCTTTTGGGAAGAGAGGATGGTGCCCTATCAATTAGTAAAACTGGTTGGATAGCAGGGCCTGGTTAGTTATGTTCTGGTGTATCTCCCTTTGAAAAGTAACAGACCAGCATCTGTAATCCTAAATGCATTAAAAGGCAAAAGGGAAGAATGATGTCTGGATTTCTATAGAGGAAAGATAATTAAGTTGGCCTTTGGCATAGGAATTTTGAAGATGACTTGGCTGAGCAGTAAATAGGAAGTAAGGTAACTGCACTTACTTGAGTCACTATGTCCAGTCCCAGGCCTCTTGAATCTACAACAACTATTGTGAGAATGGTCTGGATCAGCAGGGCAATGAAGTTGTTGAATCCAAACATCAGGGCATAGCGCTCCATGCTCAGATTGACGGCGATCTGGAACCTAACAGGAAACTGGCAGGTCAGTCACTTCCCCTGGGAGAGCTATTGCTGTCTAGCGGTCGATGAAGAGAAAGTGATTCATGCAGATGGTGCATCAAGGACAGAGGAAATGGTGCTTCATTTGTTTGTTTGCTTCATTGCTTTCTCTAAAAAAAAATATAAATTCTGGGGTACCATAGTGTATTTTAATGGTTTTTTTTCAACTGCACGGGCTGCTTTTCTAAACCCTGCTTTCAGATGATCAGGTAGAATGTCAGCTCTCTGTACCCTTCCCCTTTGTTCCTTCTCTGCCTGCACAGTCTGTGCCAGACAGGCTGTAAAGAGTCCATGGCTGGAAGCTTTCAGAGACCTGGCCAGGCAAAGCTGTGACTTGCTCTGGCATTGGAAGCAGTTCTGCCCTGGCTAGGAGGTCACTCGGGGTATCTTCTAACCAAGCTTTCTATGGTAATAAGTCACGTTTTGCTTTGTGATTTGACAGTGGAGGTAACTTGCTGTTTATTTCTGTCAAGAGCCCATAGATTTTTACTTGCAATATCTTTTTTGACAATAATCAAAACATCTTTCTTTGCAATACATACCTGCAAAGTTTCTATACAAACAAAAGGGTGTTGTTCCTTCAGGACTCATTTTCAATAATTTTAGCTTGGGAGTTTTTTGCGAGATTTTACTTTGTTGGGGTTTTTTTAAAATATATTGAAATAGTCCAGTTGTAATTAACTATAATGTAGTAGCAATCTACCAAAATGACAATTAAGAGCTCACTTGGCTTCCTTCAAGACAGGCATAACCTTGCCATGCATTATAATGTTAGCAATTTTTAAAAAATGGTATCTGATTAATTTTGGAGTTTGACACAAAATGCATCCAGTATTTTTGTTAATGAAATAGTGTGGTATATCTAAAGACATTCCAAGCAAGAAAATTACTGGAGAATTTTATATTTAATAAATATATATTTTATATATTTATTATTATATATTTATAATATATTTTATGTGTTGTTTTTATATTTAAACATTTTGTATTTATTACACAGGATGAAATATTTGTTGTTAATATTATTTATACATTTCTATTTCTGACAACAGAATAGCTTGGTCTCCTATGAGATCTCATCTGAGTTTATATGTCCTATGCTCCCTTTTATTCCTTCTTTACCTCTTATTATCATTAATGATTATATGTATAAAATTATGTTGGGGAACACTTTATGTGGAGTCTTTCCCTGCATTCATGCAGGTCTGACATGCTAAAAGGTTTATCAGTAGGGGGTCTAGGCATATGGTGATCCTAAAGGATGGCTGTCAAGGTATGCTTGTCCCTATTGCTCACTTTGCATCTTTCACACCAGGAAGGAGGAAAGTGGCTTCTACATTTTGCAGTTATCATTGCCTTTAGTAATAACATTACCTTGTGCCTTATTTAATTGCTGCTTAGGTAAATGTTCAATGTCCTTTTGACAATTTTTTTCCTGGTTGTTTGGAAGAATGAAAACAACATAACCAGACATTTAAGTGTTTTTGTCCTTACCTAAAAACAGTTATGTCAAGCATTAGGTCAGCTACCTCTGAGGAAAAGGATGCCCAAAGCGAACTCAAAGTAGGGTTAGTATTCTGTGTATGATGATGATGCGTTGTGATGTTTTGTACTTACGTTGCTATTGTCAGGAGGAGCACATAGCATGCCTTGAAAATGAGATATCCAGCATAACATGCCCAGATGCTGCTAGAGAAGTGCATGAGAAACAGACAACCAGCATCTATTGCAGAGAAGATCCCTAAAGCCAGTTCTCCAAAATGGTCCCAGTTAATCTGCATATATTGTACTAGGAAAGATGTTACTGAGCCTAGAAAAAGAAAAAAAAATAACGTGTAAATATTGTATCTGCTCCATAGCCTGTATGACCAAATCCTGCCGCACTCACATGCTGAAAGGCAATGCTGAATAATGAAGCAGAGTAGTCTGAAGTTGAAAGCATTTCTGATGCCTTCTGCAGCTGTGCAGATGACTGGTCATTTTAAGACAGCTGCATATATCAAGTCTCTGCCATTCCATTCTTAGTGTTTTATTCCACTTCACAGGATAAACTGTAATGTAGGAGGATTCATTATTTAGGTGTCTGTACACAGCATGGCTCTCTGGGGACAGAATTGGGAACATGGTTTGGAGTTCAAGAAGGAAATTCTTCCACCTTCTCCTAGTTAGGCTAGTAAACCTTTTATTGAACAGTTTAGCTCTGTGCACCTCATAGAGGGGATAAACTGTCAAAAAAGTGAGTTTTGAGGCATCAAGGAAGTATATCCAAGGAACGAGAAAGGATAGGTTTGCTTTTTGTGGGCCTCCTAGAAGATGCATCTGTTGCAAAGTTAAGCCACCTGACTGCCCTCTTAGGCGTCCCAGACCCTTTTAAAAACTTCTATAAATTATATTTAAAAACTTCTATACTTATACACTGAGAACTAGTCAAGTCCATGAGAGAGAGAAATTCATCAAGGAGTAGATACTACAGGAGGTCTTCAACTTTGTGATTCACGTGGTCTATTTAGTTGCCTGCTGCAAGAATGGTGAAGACTGTAAAGGTGACCTGAATGACTAGGTGTGGTGCAGATGTGTTTATTTTTCCTGATAAAACACACCCCCACGTCTTGTGCAAGTTCTTTACAACAGCACAATGTGAGCCAAGGCAGGGTGGTATCCTCTGATGTTACCTTTTGATAACCTCACTTTGCATGTGTGATGTGAGCATCTATTCTTGGTACAAAAATGGAATGGTTCAGATCAGTAAAGAGTCATAGGGTCTTTTTTCCCCTGAAAATCTTTGTATCATGCAATTACTACAATTTTTCTTTTTGTCTGGTTGCATGAGGGTATTTCACTAGAAAAAAAAAAAAAAGAGAGGATTATGTTCTTTTTGTGTAAAATTTTTACAGAAAACTTCTCCCATCTGTGTAAACTAATTGCATTGTTATGGGGAACAATGCAATATTTGTTTTGGGGGAAAAAATACTAACACCCAATAGCCTCATCCAAAGAAACAGGGGTGCTTCTGAATGGATTTACCAGCTAGATGCAATGTCTGTGTGACTTGCACACTTTCTGCATACTGGTAAAATACAGTTATTTGTCTGCTAGAAAAGAAAAACCAACATAACTCACATTTGAACTGTTGTACATCAAATACCTAGATCTGGAATGCACAGGGTGTGCACTGGCTCCCTGGAGCGCCTGCAATGGAATGGCACTTTGAAAGTTGACTAAAGTGGAACTTCAGAGGCTGTCATTGTGATCAATGTTTAAACATTGACTTACTCAGAAAAGTTGCTATGGCTTCCACAGCTCCATTGTACACTGCGGAGCTGTGCGAGGGGGCTCGGAAGTCCCACAGCACCTGGACGTAATTCACCACCTGGTTGAAGCCGGCCGTGGCCAGAGCCCACCACAGGGACCAGCAGAGGAGCTTGCGGGAGCCGTAGCAGTGCCTCAGGTCCCTGCCCAGCTGCAGCAGCACGCTCAGCAGGTGCCTGTGGGGCCCGGCACTGCCAGCCTGGCGCTGGGGGCTCAGGGCCCTGGCAGCAGCATCAGGGCTCCTTTCCTCTTGGCAGCTCTGGGGCCTGGGGGCAGTGGCCACAGGCAGCTCTTTGCCAGGCCCTGGCACAGGCTCAGGGGCATCTTTCCTGTGGAAGAACATGCTCCTCTGGGGCATGGGCAGGAAGAGCGTGCACACGAATGCCAGGGACACGGAAGCCAAGCTGATGGCGTTGAGGTGGAAGTAGGAGACGCCTGCTAAGGACACCAGCAGCTGGCCCAGCACGGCGGCCACGGTGGCTGCCACCAGAGTGACGCTCCTGCAGTAGCTGGTGACCCTCTGGTAGTGTTGGCTGCTGACCACGCTGTAGATGTAGGCGTAATAGGCCACCTCGGTGGCTGTGACCATGCCATAGAAGAATTCCACCAGCTGCATGGCCACCACTCCATGTGCAAAGAGCAGCAGGAGCCACGTGACAATGAGGCTGATGCCCTGCAGGAGGACAACGGGCTTGTAGCGCACATAGTCTGTGAGCAGGAACACTGGGAAAAGGAGAGCCAGGTAGGAGTATGTCCAGACTGGAAAAATCTGGTTGGTAACCTAGAACAGAAGAGAAAATGTCAGTGTTCTTGTTGTTGAGGAAAGGAAGTTCATGTATTTTAAATGGTGTTGTAGAGGGAAGTTTTTTCTCTGAAGGAATTCATAAAATATATAACCACATTGAATCAGCATGGGACTGTTGGGCAGGCAAATGGATCTTGGTTCTGTTAAATTGATCTTTTATTTATGCAGTCTACTGCAAATTGTAACCTGCCAGAGCTAGTTAAATTTGTGCTTTTTTTTTCTTTTCATATTTAAAAAAAAAATTAAACAGTGTTTTCCCTTTCTATTTTCACTACTTCAGTTAAAAGAAATCATAGAATAAAACCATACCTCATCTGTGGTCAGGTTTTTATCTGGTCCTGTTAGATAGGGTGTTAGGAAAGGTTCTGATGGTTTCATCATGTAGAAGAATCCATAGAGGCAGAGGATCAGGGTGGGAAAAGCCCAGGTGCTGATTTTCTCTTGCTTCCAGCAGCCCATGGCCTCTGCAGCAAAGCTGAGGATAGAATTTTTTAGAATAATGACACTGCCCATGCAAATGCAAAGAGATCTTGTAATTGATTTTCATTTTGTGGTTTCTAATGCCAAGGAGTGCTCTTTAGAGGTTGACAGTTCAAAATAATTTTTATTTATATTGTTATAGTGAATAACTATTCCTTACATTTGTCTGCTGCTCTCTTTGTAGAAAGTTTATAAAAAATGAATTGGAAGATCCTTAACTGGGAAACAAACTCCCCTGTCATTCTATCTGCACTGACCAAGATAAACACAGGAAAAGCCTTTCTAGATTGAAGTGGCTGAAGACAGCTGAGCACTGAGATTTCCCTCGACACCTTGACTGATCACAGCCAAGCACCTTGCTGAATGACATAGACAACTCTGGAGCCTAGCAGATGGAGCTGCTCAGAAATACAGAAAGGATATCAAGCCAGACTCTAATCTGGAATTATCTGCATAAGAAATCCATTTTGGATACAAGCATCATATTTTCCATTTATAAAAGTGGCCACAGAAGGTTACCGGTTCATGCTGAAATGAAATGAGGCAGGTATTTTTGTTCTTGTCACTAGGTGAGGTGGTGGAATACATTAAAATTTGTATCTCTGCTGGACAGAGCCTAAACAGAAGTCAAAATGGGTGTAATGGGGACATGCAAAGGAAGTTAATATCCATATTCGTGTTAGTATAGGCAATGTCAAGAATCTTAATGTGTGCAGTTTATCTTTTGGAGCCCTTTGGACTTTGCATATTAGCAGGTGGGATTTCTATCACTCTACTTTTGACTTTTATCTACTTCCCTACTGATAACTCTTTTTTGGGCAAAAAACTAATCTTATAAAAATCTTGACAATGAAGTAGTGTTTTTTTCACACATTTTTTTTTGTAAAAGCTGAAGTAAAGTCTATTCAGCACAAAGCATCCAGGTTGGATGGGCAGAGGATCCTTTTATTTAGGATGTGATATGTACAAGGCAGTAGGCATTATGCATCTTCTTTTCTAACTTCATGCTATGACAGCACTTTTTACTGACAGCCTGACACACTAAGAAATGGGTACAGATCCGAGGGAATTTGAATCACTTCCTCTGGTGCATAAAGGCCAAAAGCATCGGCATTACAGGATTCCAGCAGGAAGGAACCCAGCTCTGTGTCAGCTCTGCAGTGTGAACCACTAGATGGCAAGGTGGCCCCAGCAAGGCAAATGAGCTGGGGAGGACTGAGGCACTGAGCGCTCCAGGAAGGAAGCATTTCTGCCCCTCCTTCCTCACAGCTGTTGGAACATCAGCCTGCTGCAAACGTGGCTGTGGCAGGACCAGTTTGGGCCCTGCCCAGGATCATGCTCACTGAGTCACCGTAACATCCCTGGCTCTCCTCCCACGTGGTAATCATTAAAGCCATACAGCACCCAGTGCCATGGGAATGCTTTGTGTGATTCTGAGAGAATCACACCAGAGAGTGGGGTGGAGACCATCTCTAACACTGTAATGAGAAACATTTGTACAAGTCAGCTTTGGGACGTAGCCAGGGCATATTTTTCCCTTTCCAGCCTAGATTCTCTGCTCTGTTTCAGGTCTTGACCTGTTTGCTCACCCCCAGCAGGCTGTGTGACACAAGGGCAGCCAGCCTCATGTAGCCTGTCAAAATGTCACACACACCTTGGGAAGTGAGCGGGCCGCTGCTGCCTCTGCAGGGCTTGCAGGGTGCTTGTGCTGCCCCTGGGATGCTGCCCATGGGTGGCAGGGCTTTTCCCTCCTGTGCAGGAATTCATGGTTTCTGCTGTACACAGAAGAACTTAAGGTGTGTCCTGGTCACTGCATCCCTACAGTGCCAGCTGTGCACTGTTCAGGGTTTGGGGCTAGACCTTACCTCTAATCTGCACTTCTGCTCTTTGAGCTGCCAGGGTTAGGCTGGTAGGTGAAGTGAGAAGTTTCCCACTTGATACAAGGAGCTGTGCAGAAAACAACTGTCACTGGTGCTGGGCTGGGAGGGGCAGGGGGCTGAGGGCTCTCAGGGGCAGCCCACTCTGCCCTTGAGGAGTGGGAGAGGGTGTCACCTCACCTGCCCTGGGGTTTGTGTTCCACTCACACCCCAGCCCTTAGTGAAGCCCCCTCCAGCTCTGCAGCTTCTGTACAAGCCCTCCTTTCTGCATTCCTAACCACAAACCTCTGACAACCAGAGCTCTGCCTTGCTGCTTGAGGGGCAAGGATCCAAGTTGTTCCTGGTTCAGTCATCCTATGTGGTCAATTTGTCTTTTATAAATCCAGGGTTTGTTCAGTTTTGAAGAGATTTTAGAATGCCTTGGTGGTGTTTTGCAACAAAAAGATCTGTTTCTTTTTTCCTTCAGCAGTTCTTGCTGCCTGAGCTGTCAGCTCTTCTACACACAGCGTAACACAGCCCCCCAGCTCCCCACTGGATTGCTCTCTTCTTTCCTCCCACTTTCCCTTGTCATTGCAGGATTTCATATTTCTAAAGTTCATATATAATCATACCTTCTGTGCTGGAGTTCTTCCTTTCTTACTTCCAAGGGAAAAGCTTCCTTTTAGTATTCCCAGTCTTACTTCTGGTTGTCCCGTGTGTATTGCAGCTACTGGACTCTGTTTGGGTTTTGTGCTTTTCCTGTTCTTCTAGTGTTACAGCTTGCTCTGACACCTCCTTTGGAAAGGCCTCCAGCTGGCTTTCTTTCAGCACCCTTAAAGGAACAGCTAAAAATCCTGGCCTGACTTTGCCCCAAGGCAGCAGTGAATCAAGACCCAAACTACAGTTTAGTGCCTGACTGGCACAAAATCAATAGAGGAAGTTCTGTTCCCAAAGAATTTTGGGTCTATTTGACAGAATATGTGGCTTGGGAGCCATCTGTGCCTCAAACTGACCTATATTAAAGAGGGAGCAGTAGCTGTGCGTGGGTAGTTACAGAGGTGAGGGTGAGCAAATACTACTGCTGTAAGATTGGAAGGTATCCACACCACTTACATGGGGTTTCAAACTATTCAGAAAAACTTAAAAGGTAAAAAGTAAAGCACACTGCTCTGCTTCCTCTTTACTTATTTGCTGGCAAATTTGTCAGATTTTTTGCTTTGACAGGTTCTTACAGTGCTGCTGAAGATGGGGATAGCTGCCCTACAGCCAGCTTCAGAAGATTCTGTGGGACTCACAACAGCAGAGTACACTATGTGAAATGTACAGACTTTCACCAAAAGTATTTACACAAATTTAGATCCACTCCCACCCTGGTCTCACAGCATGTAGGTTTGGGTGATGTAATAATTATTTAGGAATAAGACTGACACAGTAGGAAAATGTGTAAATATTTGCAAATAACAGTGAATTATCCAACCAGAGGAAGGCAGCACCTTGGTTCACACACAGTAAAATGGAACAGTAGTTTTATGGACACATACATGAATATGAAAAAGATATGACATTCCTTGCTGGGTCAGACAAGTGTCTCAGCTCAGCCACCTTTGCCTTCATTCTTGGCCAGGTTTTGCAGCCTTTGCCTTCTATCCCTCAACAATCCAATATTACAGGATTAGTGATGTTATAGGGGCCATCCCTGCCTCTTGCCTTTATAACTTATTTGTTGGCCTTTGTCATGAAACCATCTCCTCCTGCCTGGGACAGTGCTGTGCACTTCTGGAGTCATGAAACACCTAGAGCTGGGAGGGAGCCATGTGACCGTGTTCACAGGGGTTCTTGGATGAGGCAAGAGATGAGAATGTTGACTCCATGTTCAGAAGGCTTGATTTATTATTTTATTATATATATATATATATATATATATATATTACATTATAACAATACTAAAAAGAAATAGAAGGAAAAGTTTCATCTCTCAGAAGGCTAGCTAAGACTAGCATAGAAAAGAATGATAACAAAAGCAGCTGGCTCGGACAGAGCACGAGCGCGAGCTCTGCCGTGACTGGTCAGTAAATCCAAACATCCACAGGAGACCAATCAGGGATCCACCTGTTGCATTCCACAGCAGCAGATAAACATTGTTTACATTTTTGTTTCTGAGGCCTCAACTTCTCAGAAGGGAAAAATCCTATAGAAAAGGATTTTCACAAAAGATGTCTGCAACAGAGCCGTAGGGATCATCATGTTCCACTTCCTGCTCCTCACAGGACTTTCTCCATCTGAACCATGTGACTCATGGTGCATCATCAGACACTCCTCATATGCTGGCAGCCTCTGTAATGCATGTGAAACTAACCTGTGGAAGGAATGTAATAATTCCTTTGGGCTCTTTCCCAGCCATCCGTCACTGCTGACACTGATCCCAGAGTTATCTTAGTTCTCCTGTTCCATTGATCCTGTGGCTATAGGAGGTGACAGCCCCTCTGAGAGAACACTGAGAATACCTGCATTTGGTTTTATTCTCACAATCTCTTGCTAAAATGTAGAGAACACTTGAGGGAAACAGTATTACTTGGGGTTTGCATTGACTTACTGAAGAATCCAACTAAAATTTCTTGACACTGAGAAAAACTGCAAAATTCTGTTTTTCCTGTAGTGCAATAATTAGAAATAATTATTTAAGTAACTTCCAGGTACTGATGATTGGTTTCTCTGCTTTCAGATCCTCTTTTATCCTTTATTATCTCTTCTTTCCCATAGTCTTCAATCCATCTTGTTGGTAGTTAAAATTTCATGCTTTTTCACTGATTCACTTCTGAATGCCAAATAGAAGACTGTGAACTTATGCAAGTTTTTGGTCAACTTGAGCCCTATGCCATAAGGTGCCTGCAGTAGAGCTTAGCTGCTGGGTTTGAAGGGAGCTACACTCTTTTTTACCAAGTCTAGTCAGATGCAGAAGTGTTGTTCTGCTTGGTGGGAGGGCTGGCCAATCTGTTTCTAGCTGACATCCCAATTCTGTTCACTTGGGAAAGGGAAGATTCTGTAAGAGTGGAGGAAAGGTGAGTTTTATGGTAGTAGTCTATCCTGAAGAGTTACTCTAATATGGTCTCCAATGAATCAAGGAGATAGGAAAATTCTGAGAGGGGAAGAAAGGCAGTAAAAGAACAAGAGTGAAAACCTTTGTCATCCTGATACTGTCTCCTGCCTCTGCTGCCCCTTGGACTCAATCCTGATATTATGTCTGGTGCTTCACAGGATGGCATCAAGGCTGAAAGGCTCATGGTGGCAGCAGGAGGTGTCTCTCTGTCTGGTTGGGCACTGAACATCAGCTCACAAATCACTTCTGCTTATTGACGCCTGCCCAATTCAGACAAAGAGGCTTCTTCAATCAAACTGATGGCTTATTCTATTTGGACAATGTGTACTTTGTTCTCTAAAGGAAGTGATAGCAAAGAAAATTTTCTGTGGCTATCACTTCCTTTAGAAAAAGACTTTCTTTCCAGAAAAATACTGAAGATTTTTCTCCATTTGTGGTCAAATACAGCCTATGCACAGAAAGGTTCTGATGGCAGCTAGAATAAAGTGTGTTTTTGTCAGATACTCATGACCCAGGAGTATTCACAGGACAAGTTCACTTTCTGACATACGGATCAGCTGATCTTTATCTTTTCTCATGTACTGCATGCTCACTTAGGGAACGAGCTGCTCTCTGCAGTCTGGCCCTGAATCCCACAGTGTGTGGGTGAGTCTTTCCATGACTTGTGTGTCAGCTGAATCTTGCCCCAGGTTCCTAACACATAGCAAGACATTCACATCCTGGGCTCAGGTGATTTTTATCTGAGACACAAAAATGAATATGCAAAGTTTGGTGTGGAATATTTAGATAGAAGGTACTAAGGGCAATACTCCAAGGGGTAGGTTAGGAAATACATTCAACCAAATTAACGTCACGGGTACTTGGTTTATATGTACACTTACAGCTGCTTCCTTAAAAAGTAATGCTGTAAGGTTATTTTTTACTATGCTGTACCTTACCTAAGGATAATGCCTACCCTTTTTATCTATTCACTCTTCTTAACTCTTGTCACTGGAGTGCCCATTGCCACTGGCAACATGCCAGGGGAGTGGCTGCTGGTAGCAGTGCAGGAGCTGGAACAAACAGCTGTGCCATTAATCATCACCCTAAGACATTTTGAGGGGGTTTAATTCTTTTTTGTTATAGGCAGCATTTTTGTGTTGGCACACTTGGGCACAAACAAGACCTGGATCTCTTGTTATAATGTGCTACCAACATGGTATGGAGCACATAGAAGTCCTGTGATGGGTTTATAAAGACTGGTTGAACCTACTTTGGCCATGTTTTATGTCCCTTTTGTAAACAAAGAAGTCTGAGCTGGTTTGAAGGGATTTAGCCTCTTAATCTCCTCTATTGGCCAGGGAAAGTTAGGTTGCATTACCTTTCTGCAATATAGGTCACTGGCTGGTTTGTCTCCTTTTGGTTACAGGTTAGATGCTGAATTCACTGTAGGTGAGAGATCACTGATGTAGTTGTGAGAGGCTGAGCAAGGAGCATCTAATAACAGTGGGTGTCCCTTTGGAAGCATTGCCAAGGCTTTACAGGCATCCTTATTTGCATGGCAGTGCCCTGCATTGCAGCTCTCTCATTTGCTCTGTGCCTCTTGCAAAAATCTCACACAGATCTTGGGAGGTTTCCAAATAAAGGTGTTTCTCACTCTCTGAGGACTGGGTTGATTGAACAAGTTTTACTTTCTCCCTCTTACTGGCACAAAGCACACTCTGCTCTCCCAGCTGAGGCATGCAAAGCAGTGAGGTGTTGGAAGGAGGAGAAAACTTTTGTGTTGCATTCAATGACAGCAGAACAGAAAGATCTACAGAAGAACAGGTTATACTTTAAGTAGGTCATTTCATTTTCCTTATATTTTTCTTCTGGATCATCAGTGGAGGACAGGAACCACTCTTTTGTCAGTGGAACTCTCTAAGGATTTTCCTTTCTAATCAAATATTATGAGGTCACTGCTGTAGGTTTGCGGCTGACTTTTGTGCTAGTTCTGACTGTGGCTGAGTGCACTGGTCTCTGGTGTCCCTCTGCCCCCTACACTGTCTGTCAGCTCTTCTAATGGCATAGAAGCCATCAGGATTTAAAGGAAGAACAGCAGTTTTTTTGTTTCTCAATGAAGTGGGGAAAGATGATTCTGGTGAGAAAAAAGTGACACATGGTAACAAACAATGAGCAAAAAAGTATTGCTTTTAAGAGATGAAGAAGAATATGAAGGACTCTATTAAGCTTCATGTTTAGAATTTCTAACCACAGTTAGAAATAGATGTATGTAGGATGTTTATCCCAGCACCAAAAAACCTTCCCTATCTCCAAGTTTGCTATTTGATGATTTGGCCTGGTGACTTTAACATCTTATTTGTAGTTTTTGTAACAATGCTATACAATCCAATTCAATACCTGTGCTTCAGTCTTTCTTGGATTGCATATTTTCAAAATCTCCAGTTAATTAACAAAAGGGAAGTGATATATACGTCAAAGAAATCTCATTTGAAATGGTTAATACTTGTAGTGACTAATGCTAATGCTCCCTCACTGTGGTTTGCCAAAGAGAAATGAGAGGAAAAACCTGAAGGGATTTCTAAGGCACTTTCCATGTTGAAAGAGCACTTTCAAGGGTGTGTTCGCCTGCAGAC